AAAGTGGCTAACTAGTAAAATGTTGCTGATATCCTGATAAACATTTTACTAGTAAACCACTTTTTGATATCTTTTAAAAGAAATGAGATATATAGGCTCAAAGTGGACGATCCGGGTGTCGTTCTATTAGAGGTTTTACGGTATCTCGGTTTCCTTGCAAGATATCAAAAATTTGTAAATTGATAAAATGTTTATGATATCATGATAAACAATTTATCAGTTGACAGATTTTCAATAGCTCTCACAAGAATCGAGACAAATTGGCTCAAAGTTAGGGGCTCCTAAACTTACCAGATCCTTGTATGGGTCCGAATTTTGGGGCGATGGAATGTCAAGAAATTCTCGATTCTCAATTTTCGAATTAAAATTTTTAGGAACGGGTGTATTATTTTGTTGAGCCAAAATATCAAAGAAGCTTGGCTGGACAAATTCCAGATTTTCAGGAGCCGGGTCCTAAAAATATGTTGTAAAAATTTGAGAAAAATATTCAAACCTCACCTTATACAGATCCAGTTTTTGTTCAGAAATCCCAAATTTCAAAAAATTCTCCTTTTTCGAAACTTCCTGCTCCTTCCAGGTCTCGGCTTCCAGCTCCGGACTCGGCGATGGCTCTACAGAAGCTTCAGAAGAAGTAATATTTGAAGATGACGTTGAAGAAAAATCCGGATTCCAATTGGAATTGTATTTGAGCATGCCCAGAAGTTGATTTACTATCTCATCATTTGAATTTTGTGGAATTTCCGGAAATCCAGGAATCGACAAATCCACGTCATTTGAGGATGTGCTCAAGTAGTCATGATCTTTGAGTTCTGGCATGTTCTGGAGAGTTGAAAATGTCTGAAATTCTCATTTTTAGAATATTCTATCTCAAGTATTAGGTTGTTCGGAAAGTCCTTTCCATTTTTGATCTGTTGTTTTCAAACTTTGTTTTTTGAACGGGGTAAAAGCGAGGAAGCTGCCGTTTTATCAGCATGCTAGTGAGGTCTAATAGTGTCTGCACCCCAACGGAGACCATTCCCCCCTTTTCGTGTAATGAGATATGCTCACCGTTTTCGGCTCTATTAATTTCCATTTTTGGACTATCATTTTAATTGTATTTATATCTGATCTTAAACTAGCTGAATTCGATCGCCAACTATTAGGTTGGCGGGAAAGTCTTTGTCACTCTGTTTGTTTAATCACTGTTCTCGTATATGGAGGCTGTGTATGATATCGACTCTAGTGAATAACAAGGTGATAAGAACCTTCCATATAAACAAGTCCCCATCTCCTTCCCTGCTCCTCATCTGTAATTGAAACGATATGTTTGTTCCCACTGCTATTCACATCAGACATGTTTTGATTTACCTCTTCCTATCTCACACCACGATGAAGGATTCGGAAACTTTCTTGAAGAATGTGTACAACACACATGTCCCTCACTACAATACTATTCGCAATTGGTTCCATCGTTTCGAAAAAGATGACTTCTCGCTCGATGAAAAGGATCGCTCTGGGAGACCCCGTGAGTTGGATTTGGACAAGCTGAAGCACGCATTGCAATCGGATCCATTTCAATCTAGCCGTGAACTAGCTGTCACATTCGGAGTTCACCATAGCACAGTCCTTGAAGGTTTGAAGTCTCTTGGAATGAGAAAACTTTTTGGTCGATTCATACCTCATCACCTGACTCAAGCCAACCTTGACCGCCGAGTCGACGATTCGATTACTCTTCTCACTCTCCACGCGGGCGATCGATGGCTGGACCGGCTAATAACCGGAGATGAGAAGTGGGTCTTCTACGATAATCACCACAGGAAATCCCAGTGGGTTGGAGAAGGAGAGAGCCCACAGGATGTCCCCAAACCCGACCTTCATCCGAAAAAAGTTATGCTCTCTGTGTGGTGGGGAGTGGACGGCCCCATCTACTGGGAACTTCTGCCCGAGGGCAAAACAATAACTGGAGACCTCTACACTACTCAACTACGAAACCTCAAGAAAGCAGTCGACCGTTCGGCCCTGAAAGACAAGAAAGTGTACTATCAACATGATAACGCTCGCCCACATGTTTCGAAACAAGTGAAGCAGGAGCTGATGGGATATGGATGGAATGTTCTCCCTCACCCCCCGTATTCTCCTGATCTTGCTCCTTCCGACTATTGGTTATTTGGCGATATGACACGTGCCTTCGAAGGAAGAAGCTTCAATTCCCGTGGAGCGGTCGAAGCGGCACTCAAACAATACTTTCCTCACGCCCGGCTGGATTCTACCGCAATGGAATCCATAAATTGAGGGAACGTTGGAGACATGTTGTTGATAATGATGGACAATATAATTAATTATTCGGTTATTTTTTCTTTGAGAAATAAACTATTGAAAAAGTGACAAAGACTTTCCCGCCAACCTAATATTATCCCGTTTTTGATGGGTTAGACATGATTTTCGCAAGCGGCGCAGTTGAAAGTATCTGAATCCAATTTCATAGATTGTTTTTTCTAAAATCAAAACACAATTGGACAACAGCGGAATTCCTTCACCCCAGTTTGGCACAATCATGCACTGTCTCCTCATTTGAGCTGGGTGCCAACTATTAAAGAATGCCAAGAACTATGAAATTATAAAATCAGTTGACATCTTCTTGGCGAAAAACTGCGCCAATCTTTAGTCGTTTTTGTTTGATACCAACATCAGGAGATTCAAGATTGAGTGATGTTCATCAAAACAACCTCTTGTGTATCCATTACTAAATATTTCGAAGTGAAAGGCAAAAAAATCCCTTGGCATTCTACTGAACTAATTGAGAGGTCATTGATCTAATAAAAAATGACAGATACCAAACTAAGAGAAGAGAATGGAATCCCGATTTTTTGGTCAGTGTGCATACGCAAAAGGTGAAATTCGATTTAATTGAATTCACAGTAAAAAATGTTGAACACATGCCTTCATTTTGTTTTTGCTTCATCCATATCTTTTTTTATTATCAATTATCAGTTTTTGACCCCAAATCGTCTGAACCTCATCAATTTTTTAAAATCACCTAATAAATTAGAACACATACAAATCTTCGCCAAAGGCAGGACATCCTTTTTTTAACTTGCTCAGAAATACCAACCGGTATGAACGGTGAAATTTTTTCGTCTTTTTCAACTGGTGAATTTTTCTCTCGGTGGAAAGAGATAACCATTTTTGATGAATAGACATTTTCGTTGTATTTCATTGGCATAACGACGACTCGCAAATAGTTCTCCAATTTTGAAAAAAAATCTTTTCTCATTTAATCCGCACACATTTTTTCTCCATATGCTCACTTTTTCGTGTTCACAAAAAGAACAAAATTCACAATTGCGATAGCGTGTGTATGTCATTTTGATATGTGTGTTATAACTCTCATCGGTTTTCATTATTCATTTCGTTTCAGAATTGTATCCTATCTACACATAGGAGAGCCTAATTTTTGTCTTTCCTCGAAGCACTAATTAAAATTGTCAATAATTTTGAATTGGTCGTAAGGGCGTTAAGATGAAAGTTTCAATTTTTGATTGACAGTTTTCCGATATTAGTTGTACCAAAATTCCATGAAGTTATTCTTATAATAAATAAATCAAGGAGTGTGATGTTGTCTCATAATCCTCCAATTGCGTCTCTCTTGATTCTCTGAATCAGAATAAAAAGGAATATTTTTCTCATTTGTTTTTTTATAGGTTGGTAATTCTTTGTGCGGTTGTGTCTGTGCTTTCCGATGGTGAATGAGGAGAACCGTTGCCAACTCCATGGTAACAGAAGAAGACAATAGAAGGGGTATATCTTTAGGGTTTTGACTGGAAAGGGTGGCAAATGCGCTGAAAGTGTGATTCGGGTAAGTAGAAACTGTGAGGAGTTGTTGGTGGCTAGGAGTGAGGAGTTGTTGGTGGCTAGGAGTCCATGGGATCTAACCCGAGCCGTGTCTTTTTGTTTGGTTGAAGCGAGAGCTATCAAGTTCAGGTAGGCGCTGTATCGTCGGCATCATGGGAGCTGAGCCGATTTCATCTGTTGTTCTCTGTATTAGCGCGGTGGGAGAGAGACAAGTAATAGAGAGCCAGAGACTGTGTGGCAATAGAGTGCACACTTGTGAAAATCATGTATAACCCATCAAAAACGGGATTATTCTTGGAAAGATTGTAATGTTTTTTCCAACTCCCTCGATATGTGTTGTACCGTTAATTTGTAATATGACATCCCAATGTCTCCTCCATTTGCCATTCCCACATTTGTGGATTGCCAGGAGGCATGAAGTGATTACCAAGGTGTACAGTCCCAGATACATAAAACTCAGTCTGTATGATTTTTAGGGTCGATTGAGTGACTCATGCCCCATTCTCACTTCTTTCTCCCTTCTTCGTTAACCTATTGAATAACAATCGATATACTGCAGAAATCTTCTCTCTCCACTCTCATCATTCTTATACACTCCGAGGGTCATCAACACCCTCCGCCTGCCGCCAAGTCTGCTGGCTCACCACAACACCTTCTTGCCTCTCTTCCGAATGTTCAGTCTGTTTTTTGCTCTGTCATTCCTATACTGTCCGTGGGTCTTTTACACGCATCGCCTTCCACCAAGTCTCGCGGCTCATCGCAATTCCTTCTCCGTAGTTCACTTCTCTCGTAAACCGAGACGACGCACGCATATTCGCTCTCTATATTCTTCCTTCCGTTGTGACAAGAAGCATTATTCCAGAGAAGATCTCTTCAAAAAACTTATTAGGTACGTAATAGACTATTTTGAGACCGGAAATAGCATAGTCAAAATTGAAAATTTGGCGTTTTTAATAGTTTAATTCGTCCAGAACTCGAAAAGATAAAAGGTCAAAATTTTGAGCAAAAACTTCACTTTTTGGTTCAGAAAAATGATGGTTGCAGTTGCAGCGGGTTTCGAAACAGAAACTACTGTAACATACCATACCTCTAATTTACAGAAAATGGGCAAGAACATCAAAGATAGTAGAAAAGGGAGTGGGTGAACTCGAAGGATTGTCTCTATCACATACAGCACGTATAGCCAGAATGAGAGATGAAACTTTTTAAACATTAAAATGTTTCTTTGAACTTTCAAATTCTGAAAGTTGAGCTTTGCAATCGGTGTATTTCAAACTCTGAATCCATGGACTGTCGAGCTGATCTTCATAGCCAATGTTTCTTTTCTCTGATAGTATGCACAATTCTTCGTGACCTGGACTAACTTTAGAATACGTTTATCTATCGGTCCGTTAGCGAGTGGGTGAGTCGGCAGCAGATGACGAAACACCGTTCTTACTAGAACCCTTCCTAAAGGGTACTTCGATTGACCAGGAAAAATGTTGCGCGGTCAGAGACACACGGATGCCCAGAAAAGACGACGCCTTCACTCTCGCTCTATATTGTGTTCCTATTAGCTAAGTGTGAATAACTAGAAGATAAAATTTTAGGGTGAGCCATAAGATGGAGGATTCTCATCGTCTAGAATAACGCTTTTATTTCCTTATCTAATCTTTTATCGCTCTTAAATGTCTATTACTGGGTTGCGCCCTAAAATAACTATCAATCCATATACCTCGCTCTCCTTCATTTTTGTTTCCTCTACTTCTGGGGACTTCTTCGCGACAACCTCACGAGTCGCTTCTCTCAAATTATTCTCCCCGCTTCGTTCTGGTACACACAGAAAATTTTCCTCTACTCCTATGCTCTCCCAAAAACAACCCCGCTGTCGTGTTGAACGGTTTTCTCTGTCCCTCCTCATGTACATCACAATTTTTCTTATCTCTCCGTAAAAGTACAACTGGGCCGTTGCATCGCGTCCCACATTTGTGCGATTCCTATTTTATTTTTCTCCTTATTGATTGATCATTCATATTTTGAATACGAAAATCATAGTTGTAATTGAGAACCCTAGCAATTGAGAAGATTAGTTTAAGGCTTTATTAGCGCATTCTGGTTCTGGGCCATTTTCATTTAGCGGGTGGTCCCAGAATAATCTGAAATACGTTAATCGGTCCGTTCACGAGTCGGTAAGGATCAGGCAGACAATAATATATTTTGTAGACGGACAAGGGTCATGCACATTTGAGAGAAGAAGAAAGGGTCCTTGGTCGTTGCCATATTACTGTAGGCCAGTGTTCCATTATTATGGCTGTTCGAGAAAAAACGGTGGAGAGCGGATATCTCGTTTCTCACAGACATAAAAAGAATTACCGTATTTTTGAGCCATTTCAAACTTTATTCTCCTATTGTATAAATTTCCAAAAAGAACAAATAGCTAATAAAATATGTAGTGTGTCCTTGTTTAGAAAAATTCAAATTTTACCTTTATTTCTTACTTGATAGACAATTAATAATTGTCATTTTCTCATTTTTTTTTTCAGATTCTTCAGTGTCCAAAACTACAAAAATGAGCGGAAAGGAAAACAGAATCCAATGTGCCTCTGGAGCAAAAAAGCCAGTGGAACCTACTGAGAAGGATCCGATTAAAGATGGGTAAGTAGTAAAACAGAATAATTAAATTGACTTAAAATTTTCAATGAGCGGTGCCACAGCGTTGTCGGTTGGCTCTATTTGATAGTTTGAAAAGAGATTGGTGTTCATTTGGAGAGATACAGTACCATTTTTGAGACTTTTCGAGTTACAAATTAATTTAAGTAGTTCTAACAGTTTCTTGTTCCAAAAAATAAGAAAATTCGTTTTCTCGCTTTTCACTTTATAAGTTTTCAGATTCCTTAAAATGCCGGTTGTCGAGAAAAAGGAAATCAAGATGAAGCCAATGACAGCAGCGTGAGTTCTAGAGCTGCATAGAACTAATCTAACTGGAAATTTACAGCAAGCTGAAGAGAGGAATCGGTTTTATAAATGAGGATAGAAAGGATGAGGTTGACAGGGACATTCTAACTGTCAGTACAAACCGGTATCCTCATCAAAACTATGAAAACGTCGAAGTATTGAACACATACCGCGGCTTAAATCGTGAAACGGTCAGTTTTCTTATTGAGACTCTCAGCCTCTTTTTTTGTTTCAGGCTTTGGACCTTTTACGGGACAACGATTCAAAAGAAGCTATTAAGAATCGTCACAAATATCGTATTTCAAAAAACAAAAAACCAGAGGCACAATCAGCTCGGAAAGAAACAAGATGCAAAGAGCAAACTGCCAGCACAAAGTAAGTGGCCTTTCAAATTATGATCTTATATAAAATCCTTTGATTTAGAAATCATGGCGCCCAAAGCCAAGGAAAATGCTCAACGCAGAAAAAGCGAAACGTTGATAAATCAGATTCAGTGAACTCCGAGGAAGCAATTTCAATGGAATCAAAAGCACGCGGAAGGTATTTTTTCAACAAAAAACTCTGAATCATTTTTGAGTTTCAGAAAAAAGACAACCAGCTCGCTCGTCAATGCACCACACCAGCTTGTCAAGGCTAAGCTTGTCCAGGCCGAGGTCGTCCAGGCACCACGCGGAAGAGGAAGGAAGAAACCGCTCGATTCGTGAGTTGGTCAATCAACGACTTTTCCAAAAAGTTCCATGTTTCAGAGAGCAGACTTTGGTGAAGACTGGGAATATGACGTTGAGAAGGAAAAGGCGTCAAAACTACAATCAATCCACATCGTCGTCGGAACCACCAAAAAAGAAGGGGAAAATAGAGGAAGATCCGGACTACGAATTCGATGAAGAGGAAGATGATGACTACTAAAAAAATATTTTGTAGCCAAAAAATTCTGTATCCTTCTTCTACAACTCTTCTTACCAACTCTTTTTCCATTATTTTTGTTATTGTGCAAAACAAACAGTTTTCCGATGAGCGTTGGAAAATCGACTCAAAGTTTTTGTTCATCTTGTTCCTCTATATATCTTCTCACAAATTTCGATTCATCTCATCTTATCGAAGTTCCTTTATGCTTTTTGTTCGTCAAATGTTGCTCTCGATTTTTTATATTTTTTCAAAAATTATATTTTACTATAGCCTTACTCTTGTGTTTTCCTGTTCCTTTTTCTAAACATCTCCCTGAAGTCCAAACTCCAACACATGTGAAATCTATATCTCTCTGCCGTTTCTTTCTATTTATAGATGTTCCTGTATTTCTCATTTTTATCTATACAAATGAATTAATCATATCGGTCCAATCAAGTGATATCAAATGGAGTAACATTTTTTCTTTATTCTTTGTTTTCGCAATTGAGAAGATTAGTTTAATGAGAAGTTTAGTTTTTTTTTTTGAGAGAGAGAGAGAGAGAGAGAGAGAGTATTGCGAAGAGTATAACATCCCAATATCTCATCCAAATTTATTCTCGAAATGACACACTAGCCATAATAATATTATTGTTTTAAACTTTGCTTGTCCTGCCTTTTCACAAAACTCGTATGTGATAAATTCGAAAAATCGGTTTTTGAACCCTAAAATCGAGATTTTGGCTTCCAACTTTTTTGTGAATAAGCCAATTCACACAAATTCTTTTGTAAAATGTTAGCCATGATCATAATATTGTTTTAAATTTTGCTTGTCCTGCCTTTTCACAAAACTCGTATGTTATAAATTCGAAAAATCGGTTTTTGAGCCCTCAAATCGAGATTTTGGCTTCCAACCTTTTTTCTGAATGAGCCAATTCACACAAATTCTTTTGTAAAATGTTAGCCATGATCATAATATTGTTTTAAATTTTGCTTGTCCTGCCTTTTCACAAAACTCGTATGTTATAAATTCGAAAAATCGGTTTTTGAGCCCTCAAATCGAGATTTTGGCTTCCAACCTTTTTTCTGAATGAGCCAATTCACACAAATTCTTTTGTAAAATATAAGCCATAATAATATCATTGTTTTAAACTTTGCTTGTCCTGCCTTTTCACAAAACTCGTATGTGATAAATTCGAAAAATCGGTTTTTGAGCCCTAAAATCGAGATTTTGGCTTCCAACTTTTTTCTGAATGAGCCAATTCACACAAATTCTTTTGTAAAATATTAGCCATAATAATATCATTGTTTTAAACTTTGCTTGTTCTGCCTTTTCACAAAACTCGTATGTGATAAATTCGAAAAATCGGTTTTCGAGCCCTAAAATCGAGATTTTGGCTTCCAACTTTTTTCTGAATGAGCCAATTCACACAAATTTTTTTGTAAAATATTAGCCATAATAATATCATTGTTTTAAACTTTGCTTGTCCTGCCTTTTCACAAAACTCGTATGTGATAAATTCGAAAAATCGGTTTTTGAGCCCCAAAATAGAGATTTTGGCTTCCAACTTTTTTTCTGAATGAGCCAATTCACACAAATTCTTTTGTAAAATATTAGGCATAATAATATCATTGTTTTAAACTTTGCTTGTCCTGCCTTTTCACAAAACTCGTATGTTATAAATTTGAAAATTCGGTTTTTGAGCTCTAAAATAGAGATTTTGGCTTCCAACTTTTTTCTGAATGAGCCAATTCACACAAATTCTTTTGTAAAATATTAGCCATAATAATATCATTGTTTTAAACTTTGCTTGTTCTGCCTTTTCACAAAACTCGTATGTGATAAATTCGAAAAATCGGTTTTTGAGCCCTCAAATCGAGATTTTGGCTTCCAACCTTTTTTCTGAATGAGCCAATTCACACAAATTCTTTTGTAAAATATTAGCCATAATAATATCATTGTTTTAAACTTTGCTTGTCCTGCCTTTTCACAAAACTCGTATGTTATAAATTCGAAAATTCGGTTTTTGAGCTCTAAAATAGAGATTTTGGCTTCCAACTTTTTTCTGAATGAGCCAATTCACACAAATTCTTTTGTAAAATATTAGCCATAATAATATCATTGTTTTAAACTTTGCTTGTCCTGCCTTTTCACAAAACTCGTATGTGATAAATTCGAAAAATCGGTTTTTGAGCCCCAAAATCGAGATTTTGGCTTCCAACTTTTTTCTGAATGAGCCAATTCACACAAATTCTTTTGTAAAATGTTAGCCATGATCATAATATTGTTTTAAATTTTGCTTGTCCTGCCTTTTCACAAAACTCGTATGTTATAAATTCGAAAAATCGGTTTTTGAGCCCTCAAATCGAGATTTTGGCTTCCAACCTTTTTTCTGAATGAGCCAATTCACACAAATTCTTTTGTAAAATATAAGCCATAATAATATCATTGTTTTAAACTTTGCTTGTCCTGCCTTTTCACAAAACTCGTATGTGATAAATTCGAAAAATCGGTTTTTGAGCCCTAAAATCGAGATTTTGGCTTCCAACTTTTTTCTGAATGAGCCAATTCACACAAATTCTTTTGTAAAATATTAGCCATAATAATATCATTGTTTTAAACTTTGCTTGTTCTGCCTTTTCACAAAACTCGTATGTGATAAATTCGAAAAATCGGTTTTCGAGCCCTAAAATCGAGATTTTGGCTTCCAACTTTTTTCTGAATGAGCCAATTCACACAAATTTTTTTGTAAAATATTAGCCATAATAATATCATTGTTTTAAACTTTGCTTGTTCTGCCTTTTCACAAAACTCGTATGTGATAAATTCGAAAAATCGGTTTTTGAGCCCTAAAATCGAGATTTTGGCTTCCAACTTTTTTCTGAATGAGCCAATTCACACAAATTCTTTTGTAAAATATTAGCCATAATAATATCATTGTTTTAAACTTTGCTTGTTCTGCCTTTTCACAAAACTCGTATGTGATAAATTCGAAAAATCGGTTTTTGAGCCCTAAAATCGAGATTTTGGCTTCCAACTTTTTTCTGAATGAGCCAATTCACACAAATTCTTTTGTAAAATATTAGCCATAATAATATCATTGTTTTAAACTTTGCTTGTTCTGCCTTTTCACAAAACTCGTATGTGATAAATTCGAAAAATCGGTTTTTGAGCCCCAAAATAGAGATTTTGGCTTCCAACTTTTTTCTGAATGAGCCAATTCACACAAATTCTTTTGTAAAATATTAGCCATAATAATATCATTGTTTTAAACTTTGCTTGTTCTGCCTTTTCACAAAACTCGTATGTGATAAATTCGAAAAATCGGTTTTTGAGCCCTAAAATCGAGATTTTGGCTTCCAACTTTTTTCTGAATGAGCCAATTCACACAAATTCTTTTGTAAAATATTAGCCATAATAATATCATTGTTTTAAACTTTGCTTGTTCTGCCTTTTCACAAAACTCGTATGTGATAAATTCGAAAAATCGGTTTTCGAGCCCTAAAATCGAGATTTTGGCTTCCAACTTTTTTCTGAATGAGCCAATTCACACAAATTCTTTTGTAAAATATTAGCCATAATAATATCATTGTTTTAAACTTTGCTTGTTCTGCCTTTTCACAAAACTCGTATGTGATAAATTTGAAAATTCGGTTTTTGAGCTCTAAAATAGAGATTTTGGCTTCCAACTTTTTTCTGAATGAGCCAATTCACACAAATTCTTTTGTAAAATATTAGCCATAATAATATCATTGTTTTAAACTTTGCTTGTTCTGCCTTTTCACAAAACTCGTATGTGATAAATTCGAAAAATCGGTTTTTGAGCCCTCAAATCGAGATTTTGGCTTCCAACCTTTTTTCTGAATGAGCCAATTCACACAAATTCTTTTGTAAAATATTAGCCATGATAATATCATTGTTTTAAACTTTGCTTGTCCTGCCTTTTCACAAAACTCGTATGTTATAAATTCGAAAAATCGGTTTTTGAGCCCTCAAATCGAGATTTTGGCTTCCAACCTTTTTTCTGAATGAGCCAATTCACACAAATTCTTTTGTAAAATATTAGCCATAATAATATCATTGTTTTAAACTTTGCTTGTCCTGCCTTTTCACAAAACTCGTATGTTATAAATTCGAAAATTCGGTTTTTGAGCTCTAAAATAGAGATTTTGGCTTCCAACTTTTTTCTGAATGAGCCAATTCACACAAATTCTTTTGTAAAATGTTAGCCATAGTAATATTATTGTTTTTAAATCCGCTTGTTCAGCTTTTTAACAAAACTCGTATGTGATAAATTCGAAAATTCGGTTTTTGAGCTCTAAAATAGAGATTTTCGCTTCCAACTTTTTTCTGAATGAGCCAATTCACACAAATTCTTTTGTAAAACAATAGACATAATCAAATAATGTTTTAAAATTTTCTTGTCCTGCCTTTTCACAAAACTCGTATGTGATTAATTCGAAAAATCGGTTTTTGAGCCCTAAAATCGAGATTTTGGCTTCCACTCTTTTTTCTGAATGAGCCAATTCACACAAATTCTTTTGTAAAATGTTAGCCATGATCAGTGTGTCTAAAACAATGAAAAATGTCGATTGGATGGTTCTGTGGTTGATGGTCGGATTCGGATGAGGAAGTTCTGGTGTTCGATTTCTTCTGATCGAAATGCTTTTTGCTTCTTTTGACCAGATTTTTATGTACCCATTTTTGGCTGTAAATTTTTTTTGATTTTTTCGAAATTTTCGAAGTTTTTGGTGGAGCGAATTTTTGAACCAAAAATGTGGTGCAAAACCACTTAAAATTTACAGTCATCTTTCGATTTTCAACCATTTTAATGACTGTTTTTGGCATATCGTGAGTCGAAAAGGGCAGAAAAACCATTAAAAAATATTTAGAACTCACAGAAATTCATTCCAAACTGTTGAAAATCCAGAGGTTACGTGGAAATGTTCAGCCTTTTTGTCCCAAATTTGAAACCTATTTTTCTCGAAACGCAAAAACGGAAAACAGATTCAGAAAGGACGCGTTCTCAGCTTTCGAATGATATAGGTCTCGACCCGAAACACCAATTCACAACCTTCCCTAGTTAGAAGCCGATCCCATTTCCGACCCCATTTTAGATGCCGATCAAATTCAATAAATCATTGACCTACCTCTACTCGTTCTCGAAGTTTACCTCATTTATGAGAAACGATTTCTTTTTAATTGTTGCCCCCACACTACTCGATTAAAGCTTCTTTTTTCCCTAGAAAATAACAAAAGCAGTAACCTATGAAATTTTATTTTTTCTAAAATACTGGATTCTCCATAATTCGGAGGGTACAACAATTTGGGGTTACAAAGGGTACAAAGTGATTCAGTGAGGGTACAAGGTACAAGTACAAAACCCACAATTCGGGGGTTTGCCGGATTTCCCGACAATCTTTTTTTTTCTATAAACGGAAGAGCACTCATTATTGCCGCTTCCACATACCGATTATAAATGAATATATGTTTAACCTATTCAGCATGCAATTTTTTATTTATGAACTTTGACAAGTCGAACTGTATGAAATTTAAAAAAAAATCAAAATCATGAAACATTGAGAGAGGGAAGACAGAGAGACACAGAGAAAGAGAATGGGCAAGACCCAGTGAAAAAACGCGGACTTTAATTTCAATCGGGTGGGAAGAGAACGAAAATCGAGAATTTTGTCTTGGAATCAATCGGGATTTACAAAATACAGTTTTAAACAAATACTGGGAAAAGAAGGGTTGAACCGAAAGCTGAGTGAAACTAACTGGGAACTTTGAGTAAGAAAAATATATAGTAAAAGAAACATGATGAAGATTACTTTTGCAAAATATCAGGGAGACAAAAAATCATTAATAGTCCATGTATCCATTGAAGTTGGCCTTTCCTTGAATGATTTTTCCGAGGCCTTCTTGATCCTTCATTGATCTACAGACAGCGTCGCAGATCTTATTGAGTTTTGGGTACAATGGGTCGCATTGTTCAACCTCACAACATCTCAGATCCAAATATCTCAGCCCTTGATGAATGATAACTGCAAAAATTAAGTTAGAACATTCTCGCTAAATTCGGGTGCGGGCTAGAGAAACGTTTTTTTGTTGATGTTGGATAAGATTTTTATTGGAATGATCTTTTTGAGTTTTGGAGCCCCACAAAATTCAGTCTTGGTTCCTTCTTAAATCCTCCCCATTTATGAAAACAGAAAAATGCTTTTAAAATGATCACAGAAGCTTTATTTTCACTCAAAAAAATTCGATAATTTTCCTTGAAAGACCCGGGCCGGGCCGATAAATACTCTTCCCGGCTCGGCCCGCGGCACGTCGAGTTAGAGTTTTATCAGCAAAACAAAGACTTACGCGACTCTTGGGATCCTGGAAGTCCAACGTGTTTGGTAATATGGTCAATTTGACTTCCAATTAGATCTTGACCGTTCTCATTGTCTGAAAATACAGTTTATATATTATTTTTCATCAGAATGTATTGCTCACCAAGAGGTTCCTCAATGAATTTGAGAAGTAGATTGACAACACTAGTCTCTCCAAGGCCAGTCAGCTCGGCACCGTCATCAATGTCCAAAATATGGAGAGCCATCTTGGCCACTCTCTTTCGGAAGAGATAAGCCTTCTCAAATTTGGCCAATCTCTTTTGCATGGCCCGCTTTTGGAATTCGTTGTGCATGGCCATGTTTGTATGGCCGTCGACGAGGAATTTCAATCGACGATACATATCTGTAAATATCATATTCAACTTGACGGAGTGATAAAAATATTGCCAGTATTTGTTAGTCAAGTTCTGGGCGTTCTATTAAAATTAAGACTAGGAAAAATTAGCAAGGTTGAAAATAGCGGGAGTGTTTTGACGTGAAGCCGGCACATAATTTGAAGGATACCAATCTTTTGATGTCATTGGGGTACAATGCGAATTAGGTGTACAAAATCCTCGATTTGGTGTTACGAAATACTTGAGAAAATGCGATTTTTGTATCCCCGAATCGTAGGTTTTGTACACCCGATTCGCTTTGTACCTTGTTGAAATTAACACGACAGAGAAAAAAAAACGAGTGAAAAAGAATTGTATTTAGTAAAAACTTTCTTAGGTGTAGTCAATAAACCAGCTATCGGTGGACGCCGAGGAAAAGTCAGCTTTTTCTGAGTCCTGGTTAGAATTGACTTTTCGGCAACTACTGAAATACTGTGGACCAGTGTTAATGGGGTGAAAAAGAATTTGTTGGTTCAAAACTTTCCACCTGGTTTCTTACTCCTGGTTTCTGTAGAATACCACTCAAACCATACTCACCATGGAATCCTTGATGTGAAGATCTCTCGACAAAGGGCTTTTCTGGATTGGCCATCAAAACCTCGCGAACCGACAAATCTGAAGCAACCTGTCGTTGACCTGCTCCAATTCTTAAAGAAACCGTTCAAAATATTATTTTAATCCTTTAATGACTTACTGAACCGGATCAGCTGGTGGTGGAAAGCCTTCTGCTCCATCCTCATCAGATCGCACGCCCGGACGATAGTCATGGACAATCACATGCTCATTGCTCGGCTCTTCGGAATCAAGACGAACGGCAGGCTGGACGACTTCTGGGACAATCGATGTGGAGCACCTGCAAAAGAACTGTAATTTTTTGGTTATGAATCAATATGACTTACCCGTTAGAATCCGTCATCTTGATAAAGATTGCGTTCTTGACGAGCTGTGTGCCAATGTCATCGGCGAAATGCATCTCAATGGTGGTCATCGGAACGCTATTCTTCACAGCTTCATCTTCATCTTCATAATTCAGACGTTCTCGTCGGCGTTGTCTCTTTTTTTGAGATTTTGATAGTCGAACGTCTTGATTTTCGATAGTCGACTCAACGGCTGCCTCAATAAATTTTCCATCCTTAGCCCACATTTTGATTTGATCCATACTTTGAGATGTTTTTGTTTTAACCTCTACTAGAGGCTGCTCCTCCGCTTTTGGCTCCTCCGCTTCCTCGACTGCTGGCTCCACAGGTATCAATCTCTGTTGCGACGCAACCTTCATTGCGGCAAGACGAGCTTGAGCTGCAGCCTGATTTGCTGCTTTTTTGGCTTTCCTGATAGCGGTTTTTGTCTGTTTTGGAGGTCCATCACTTTCCTGTGAAGCGGATGAAGAGTCTTCCGAGCTTTGTGATCCGGTTCTCTTTGTATCAGGATCAAATTTTTCCATCTCATTAGCGCTTTTCTTGTCCTTTCCATTTTTGACAACGTCTGATGATGTTGACTTCTTCTGATCTTTGACCACTGGGTTTGGGGGTGGAGCATCATCAGTTCGCTTCAACTGCGCATTTGATTCCCCAACGGTGCTGTCAGGAACATCTGATTCTTCGGATTCAAGGGAAGTCAGAACTGTTTTTTTCTGAGTAGTTGGAAGGTTTTGAGAAGGCTTGATTTCGTCTTTCTTCGTCTTCTCCGCAACTGGCTGAGACTTGGGCGACTGATTAGTTCCAGATTTTGCATTTTTCTTCGAAGAAGCCGGCAAACTATTAGCAGCGTTTTTTCCTTTTGTATTCTTCTCCTCTGCGGTTGGCGAAGATGTGGATGGCTGCTCATTTTGGGATACGGCTTCGGCAGAAGGTCTTGAGTCATCAGATTGTTTCTGCTGAGCATCTGGTAAGCTTTGTTGAGTCTTCTTCTCATTAGATTTATTCTTGTCAGCATTAGGTGGTTGTGAGGGACCCTCTTTTCCATTTTTCTTATTGACAGAGGTAGTTGAAGCATCAATGGTTGTAGCATTCTTGCCGTTTTTCCCTCCAAATTTCTTTTCATGTCCTGCCAGTTTCTGTGAATGTCCAAATTTCGTGCTTGCACTACTTCCAGACTCATTCGATTCTCTAGATCCCTCAGATGTCAGAATGTTTGTTTTCCTTCCTGGTAGTGAGAACTGGTGGATCTGTGCGGCACTAGATTTATCTTTCATCACATTTAGTTGAACTGACGCCTGCTTCTGTTTGGTCTCCTTCATTTCGGTTACATTTTGATTGTTTTGATGATCCTTCCCATTCTGAGAACCGTGTCCGCAAGAATAAGCATCACCTTGCTGTTTCCTACGACCAGATCGATGACCAGACCAACTTCCAATTCTGTCAGACGAGTTTGAGCCATCCTGTTGATGTCCATCATTTCTTGGAGCAAATCTTTGCTGTACACTTTCATTGGTTTTTGAACCGACTTGCTTCCATTGAGATTCATCTTCCGAGAAACTTGTCCTTGCACTACTTCCTCCTTTCAGAGACTCTGATGGAGTAGAAACGTTGACTGCAGGCTTGTTAGTAGCACCTCGACTATCCATGTCTGGCTTTACAGCTTTCTCAGCAACCTTGGCGTACGAGAGCACTGGTTTGGCTGTCAACACGGCTGGCTCCACTTCTTCAGCTTTCTTAATCATGACCACATCTTTGGAAACCTCAGTCTTGGGCTTGGCAGCAGCTGGAGAGGGCTGAAGAGGAGGGAAACTTTCGGCCAACTTGTCAGTCATTTCCATCTTCAAAGCTTTTGAAGTATCGACCACTGGCTCTGAAACTCCTTGACGCGTCTTTGCAATTTTTCCAATAACGACAGCCTTTGGAGCCTCTTTCTTGAGAACTTGTTCCGGACGTGAGGAACTTTCTTCAGCAGAATGCTCACACTGGACATCTTCAGTTTGCTCGAAAGCTTTCGACACTCCACCTTGCTCTGCCTCGGATGTCTTTACGTTTCCAGACCCAGAACACTTCCCTGGAAAGAGATCATCTTCAGTGAACGGACGAGAAGAGAATTTGGTATCTGGAGAATCATTGTTAGAAGAATCATCTTTTTGGAACTTTTTGATAAAGTCAAGCCCAGATTGATGTGACGGTCTGAAAATGAAGAGTTTGGTATATATCGTCATGGTGACATTAACTTACTCTTTTTCGGTCTTCGAGACTGGATTATCAACCTCAGAATGAAACGTTTGAATGAAAAATCTTCCAAATTTTTCAATTGACCCGGGACGATTCCATCTGTAAAGCCAAGAATTATTTATTCGAAATCGCTCACTTAAAGCTTACACATCCAAGTACTCTGCCGTATTTTCTTTTTCGAAACGAGCAACAGCTCCTGGACCTTGCCTGAGCAATGCATAGAGGTACTTAGCATTCCCAATGTTGATCTGCTCCGTTATAAAACTCCACATTAGTGCATGTTCTGATTTTTCTTTTCTACGCAGAACCATTGCCTTGACGGTGTCTGTAATGAGGATTTCTCGATTGATACACTCATTTTTCAATCTAACCGTGAAGAACATCCCATTCTGGCCAATCATAATTAATCATTTCGTCAGTGTAACGAATTCTAAACTCTCGACAGAGTCCATTCTCATGTTGTCCCATAAAATGACAAATTTTTTCTTTACCGCTCGGGGCGTACTCTTCAACTGGGTTTAGTTTTTCAAGACGAACATTTTCGTTCATGTATTTGTCGAACTCCCTGAAATAATAAAGGAATGTTTGGAATCTTGCAATCATTCGAACCAGTTATCCTCCTTTTTGATTGGGCCTCCAAACAGAAGACGTTGCCGAGCTGAACGGCTGTGTTTTTCCGCTAATCCCATTTTTTTGGGAGAGTAAAGATAATGACTGAACAACCAGTCATCTTTACCATAAACGTGTAGCTGCAAAATTACAAAGTCTCATATTTTATTTTGTTAAATTACAAACCGCATCCTCATTCAATTCCTTTCTAGTGATTTTAATTCTATTCTCAACTCTAATAACATCTCCTTGTTTCCATTTTCTTGGCTGCGCCCATCTGAAAATGGTATTCTCATCAAATTGCTGTACTTCGCCTCAAAATTGCTCACTCGTTTGCACGGGAGAAATTCTCAAATTCGAAATATTCCAAGCCAAAACCAGTATCAAGACATTGATTGATGTAATTGAGCGCAAAATTCCGAGTATAATTGAGTCGATTCTTTTGGTAAGCGTTTATAATTGTTTTGAGATACTCTATCCGTTTACCCATTAATTTATCGGCAATATCTGTAAATCTTTGAAACAGTGCAACACTTGCAATTGATATTAGATGAACCAACGTTCGACATTTGGTGTCCACATTGTGTCTTGAATGTAGAAAACAACGTAACAGTGATCATTGGGAGAAAACCGTATCTCTTTGATGAGTCCATCACTCTGTTCGAGCAAATAACTTCTGAAGGAGAGTTCTTCCTGAATATTTTCAAGAATTAAGAAGTTTCCAGACAGCTGAGTCTTACATCTTGACCGTTTCCCTTTTTAAAGTCCAATTTTACCATCCGAGAACCGACTGCCACCCTGGTCTCCTCAGCTTTGCCCTTCGACGAGCCGTCAGCACCAGGTGGCATTGTTCACGCTCCGCTGGTTTACTATTGCTCTAAAAATTGGAATATTGCACTTTCGAATTAGGGGCTGAATAGTGTATCAAACAGAGAAGTGAATTGTCTAGGAACCGCAGTGCAACCACGTCGTTTCCAACGAGGAACGGTTAGAGAGAGAGAGAGAGAAGCGAGGAGGAAGAAAGGAATAATAAAATAGATATGATAATCGGATGGTAGAGATAGGAGAGAGTATCTATTATTACACTTAGAAATACGGGAATGCAATTTTCAGAGGAAAAAAGACAGCAAAACTGTTCATGTAAGCTTCAGATAGAAAAGTACGCGACAATCATGAATTACGGAAAACATCAGAACTACAAGTAAATGTGAGCTGTCTCCATATTTATGGATCTGCATGATTGTCCCAATCATCTTCATAATCGCGCTCCACCTGTCAGTTACTAGAGAAAATCTTCGGGAAGATTTTAAATCAAACTACGAGACAATCGGGGTTGTACTGTAGTCCTCTGTTTTTGAAAAACTTTTCAAAATACTCTGCTTTTTTAAAGCTTTTTTCACTACCCACTCAAACATTTTTGAATGAATAGGCAGAATATGTGAAGGAAATTGAGCCAATATGCCGGAATTCGCCATCAAAGCGCCAAGACGTGAGCACCTCTCGCATTCAAAAAAGCGCTCTTTCTGCGTGTGGCAAGACGACGTTGTCGTCGCCTTACCCGAAAATCAATACGTCTGCTCAAATGACGGGGTAGCGGCATTGCCGCTCTGACTGACCAATTTTCGGAGCTCGTGAGGAGATTTGCATGGAAAAAAAGAGCATTTCTACCTTCAAGATTGGTTCAGCTTCTCTTTCTGATGATAGGTTTGTGGGATGGAGAAAAATAATGGGAAAATAATTGATTTCGAGCAGATTTGGGAATTTTGAAAGGTGTCTCAGTTCAAAATGCCAAAACACATTGATAATATTCTTCAAAAAGTTCAGGAAACTAGTTTTGGAATCTTGTGACGTGAGCAAAATCTGGAACATTATACAGATAAAATTGAAAATCTGTACGCCTAAATATTCATGAAAAAAACAAATTTCAAGCATTCAGCCTAGTTATACGTTATAAATTGAAACCCAACGACATTTCCGAAAAAAATCGAAATAGAAATCTAGTAGCTGACTGCAAAAATGATGACAAAGAGTAGAAACAGTAGAAGCTTTAGAATAAAATAAACCGAAGGCCGCGTCGGTCTTGCGTACAATGACGTCGGTCTTGCGTACAATGCACCAGACCAGACGACAAATGGTGGTTAGCGCGCGCACACACATCCACGAGGAAAAGAAAAAAGGACTGAATAAAACGGTTTTGATTTGAGAGTAAGTTTTTTGAATGTTGTTTTTTTTCCGAGAAGGCGTGGTCCAAGCAGATGTCGAACTGGAGGCAACACAGTGATGGCAGCTAAGAATTCGAGATGGTATCTGGTGAAATAGCGCGACTGATCGTCGATGGAAACTGAAAAAAAACCAAATTCGCAATGGAAACTGCGAAAAAAACAAAATGAGAAACTTATCTTGAAATTGCCAAGATTCGTATCACAAAATTTACAATGAAACAACGGCAAATGTGGTTCTGAAATACTGGGCATCGGGAAAAAGAGAATTAATGAAGATTTCACGAGTAATCGGAAAATCAGGCGTTCAGCTAGTTTAAGACGTTATTCGCGCACTTCACGGCTAAAATATATGGCTTTGATGCTTTCGAAAAGAGAGAAAATGGAGAATTTGTCAAATAACCCCTTGAATGGAAATGTGTCTACATTTGATCGTGGATTTGATACGTTGGGAATCGAAAACTGTTTGGTGTTCGTATTGGAAAAATAGCAAAAGCAAGAGGTTTTCAAAAACAAAATTCTTAAAAATAAAGCTACATCAACTTGCAGATGATGAGAAGCTAAAAAAAATTTTCCGAGTAAAAATGATATGAAGAAAATGAAAATCATTACGAAATTGCTGGAATTTCCGGTTTTTCTCTACTTTCCAGAATTTTCGAAGGGGGTTGATGTCAAGATGTGCAGATTTGAAAATTTCAATGAGGAAAGGGACATAAAAACATTATTAATCCATTTATCAAGTTAAAAGCTGAAAAACAAGGCAATTCTCAGCTATTTTATGAATGTGATGAGCAGAAGAAATACTTGGCGATGTAATAATGAGAAAAACCTGTGAAAAAACGGAAAATTTCATAGATACTGATCAATTGTCGGGTTCGAAGGTACGGATAGAAACCAATTACCGAAATTTTTGCAGTAGATCTTCCTCGGATTGATATAATGCAACCCCGCAAAATAAATAATGAAATATCTGACACACTGTGGGCTCAGTTCTGAAATAATGTTGTCTGAACAGCTGATTTCTATCTCGATTTTGGCTGAAACTAAGGTTTTCTGTTAGTAGCAGCTGCTTTCAAAGCGTTTTTCCTGTCAAAATACACAAATTTCTGAATTACAAGTGAAGAAATATGCATGGAAGTACTATCGATGAAAACGTTTTGCCGGAACTTTCGATAGAGAATATTTTCGCTGCTTTCCGTATGTGGTGGACGGAATACTTGGTGATGTTGAATTTCGGCGGAAGTGATTGGGAAATGAAATGTGACCAAAGTTTTTTCAGCTGAATCAGAAAAATTTTTGCGAAAAATGTATATAATTTAAGATTACCATCATATCTAACGCGCAGCAACAAGACGAATGGATCAGTTTTCCATTAAAAAACCTTGTAAGGTTTTCGATTATGTCTTTTGTAATAGAACACAACCGGAAATTGGAAAAAATCAAAAAAAAAAAATTGAAAAAAAATTATGATTGGATTGTTTTTTTTTTGAATTTTATAATTAGTTCTATCAGTAAGCACTATGTTTGAAAACACTCAAATTATTTTGTAGTCTGGAAACTATTTCATCGCTTTTATTGTCCCGATTGTAAAATTTTCCCGAACCTTCAGAAAAAATTTGTGAAATTTCGAAGCCGAATCGAATAAGAATTAGAAGTTCTGCATGGAGCGTTAAATCAAAGCTGACTGAAATCGCTACAAACTTGGTCTTTCGGCTTATAAATGTGTATTAGTAGTGTACTGATTTACTTCATACCGAATAAGAAATCTGCCAAAAACACACAAGAATCTCTGAAATTTGTGAAACAAGTCACCGTTTTCTCGCCAAACGAGAATTAAAAAGGTGCTACTGAACTTTCATGTACGCTCAGTTGCCCCTGGCCTCAAAAATTTTTGCTTCTTTACGAGAAAAAAATTGTTGAAAAAATGTTTAATCAATTGTGTCTCTTCGGGTACCAGGCCAGCTGAAAATTTTAATCAAATGACTACTCTAAATGTGACCAAATAAACGGAAATGAGTTTTCACCACCTGGTGAGGGGAGGTTTTCTTTTTTTTGCCTCTGGGAGACAGACAAAAGATGGATTTGAATATGCAAATGAGAATACTAAAAAAAATATTAAAAAATAAGGACAAAAAAGAACAATAGTAAAAACAAAAAATTGAAGGAAATTATACGATACCTAGTGTTTTATTCAACAGCAAAAAATGAAGTCAATCTGTCTGAGTATATCTGAAAGTCTTTCTCTGAATATATTTATCATAAGGAGAAGAAAATCGAAAATACAGAATACATTAACAGCTACCTGTGAGCAAGTACATTCTTAGCAATGAACTGGAAGTGCGGTCTGGTAGAATACAGCAAAACACATGAAACAGATATTTCCGCTCTTCTAGCCATGTCTTTAAAGTTCACAAAGAAAACCGCAAATGAAGATTTTAATCTAAGAAAAACGTGATGTTTGCGTTGCAAGAAAGAAGACTTTCCAATATCCCTGATTAAACGGCTCTCTGAGCCCAGACGTCGAATTCTAAAAAGTGCATGAAATGTGTACGTGCTAATCGTACAAAGTGTCTTGTAATATCATCAATTGATAAACTTCAAGTCCAGAAAATTTCCGATAACTCCCTTCTTATGTTGCCATTTTCTCCGTGCAATAATTTCCTAACGAAATTTCGAAAGGAAGAGTTTTTGAACCTTGTGAACTCGTGATTTTCCGCAAACTCGCCGCGTTGTGACCGAAAATGCTGAGTCCACAATCTCCTATCAATTTGTGCAAAGTGGCCATAGAAACATATGTAACGCCTTTCGTTGCGGTAAAATTGGGGGTGGAGCATGGAGATGGGAAGGCACGTTCTCGATAAGAGTTCTGGTACAGTATCCAACGCTTTGCTTGGGAAGTTTCATTCTTGTGGGAAGTAGGTGTGCAGGAGAAAAATGACGTTCTCGGTACCTCCGAATGTTCTATATATGTTATTCTGTTTTGTGTTGATGGATCTCATCAATACTATCACCGTACTAATATTTCCAACATTAGCAGCTACAATAAATGAAATGAATAACCACACACTAAAATCTCATTATGGAATTCAGCCTACAGATGCAAAGTAAGTCATGAAATCGAAAATTTTAAAGTTGAGATTTCAATTTTCAGTATTGCTATTTTGAATTCTATGATAACAACATCTGCTACAGTAGGAATGGTGTTTTCTTTATTTTTCATCATGCCGATAGCAGAAACCAAGGGAAGAAAATTAGCTGTTACATACTTTCGGTAAGAAAGAATTTCGAAATTTCAAATACTACAAATATTTTTAGCTTCATTATAACATTGGTTTGTTCATTCTGCCAACTTCTCTCAGCTTTGACCCAAGCAACAGAGCTATTCATTCTTGGTCAGATTCTAAATGGTCTTCAGATCCCGCTACGTGCATTTGTAACACTAATGTACATCACAGAATGTGCACCTGATAAGTATCGAGGTACTTTTCGTCTTGTACAAGACACCAAAGACTGCGAAAAAATTTCAGGCTTTGCCTCCTCTGCAGTTATCTTCTCTGACGTTATTGGTCAGCTTATCATGTATGTTTCAAACTTTTTTGTTTACATGTTTACCTCCTTCAAGTTTTATTATCAGTTTTCATCAGAAACCCATCAATTAAAATAGAAATTCTGCAAAATGGCCATTTTTTGGTTTGATTTTTGTAGTTATTGGAACCTTGACGCCGGATGTAGAGATAATAAAAAGATCGTTAAATATTTCCAGAAGAGAATAGTTTTGCAGGTTCTCCGTTGGTTCACCAAGTGCCCTCGGAAAACAGAACACATGGTTCATCTTCCCATTAGTCGTTATCATAAGTTCGATAGTGAATTTCGGCATGGCTGCTCGACTACCAGAATCTCCGAAATGGCTAGTTCGACAAAATCGGTTGGAAGAGGCGACACAAGCCATAGAGTTTTATCAAGGCGACAGCTGCAATTTGAGTAAGAGAACTATTGCGAAAATCAAACTCATATGTTGGACACAAATTACAGATGATGTTCTGACATCTTACATAAAGGAGAAGAATTTGACACAAGAGGATAAAATCTCATTTCGGCAGGTGTGGGAGAATGACACAATGCGTGAGGCGCTCAAAGTTCTTTGCTCCGTTTCTTTGTTCCTGATTCTGGATTCTGGAGCTGTTCAAGGAACTTATACAATTCTTCTACACACCACTGCTGGGTACACAGTTCAAGAAGTATGTTCTTTCTTTTTGAAATGAACTCATTTAGAGTACTGAATAGAACTTTGGGGATTTTTCAGTGAAGTCCTGCAAAAAAGGTTAGGAATTTCGCTAATGCTGTGAAAAAAACAAAAATGCACTGAACAAAAATATAGCTTTTTTTGTACTTGAAAGTTTTTTTGCGAGAGTTCATCCTGATGAAAAATGCCGTTTGTAGCCGAAAAAGTGTTGAACATTCTAAAATGAGCATTGAAAGTTTCGCTTTGCCTAATTTTAGAAAAGAACGTTGTCAATTGAAGCTCTTATTTGTTTTGTTTACTGTTGTCTGAATTTTCCAGTCTTTTTTTCATAATAGTTAAATTCCAGACTTTTTTCATGATTTCAACATTTACTATCTTTCACTAAAAATGTCCAAATATAGTATCTTTTCTTGCACTTCCGTATATGAAAAAAAAAACTAAACTTCCAGACTATGAATATCAAATTGATTCTTACAATCCTTTTCTTCCCAACTCGTTTCATCGGAACTTATCTTCTGGATGCACTAGGAAGAAGACCAGTTATGGCAATTGCTGGAGTGATAGTGTAAGTTCTTATATGTCCCCTGAATAGGCAAAATTGATATTGCAGCTATTCAAAAACTTGGCTCATGCTTATCACTCAAATTATCATTTATTTTGTTGGACCTTCTCTTCTTACTAAAATTTTATGTAAGTTATCACTCATCTATCTTGTAACACAAATGATTCCAGATCTTGGCGTAGAAGCGTTATCCAATTCAACGTTTGCGACCGGTGTAGCTTCTCTGGGTATTCTATTTATTTCTGAACTTTTTCCACCGTCTGCAAGAACGACTGTTGCACAGGTAAGAGCACATTTATGATAACTTTCTCTTTCCAATCAAACGTTTGCAGGCTTTGATTATGGTCACAATGATAATCGACCTTCCACTCATCGCTTCTTTCCCAATAGTTTATGCAATCTTTGGACCCGGCTATTTCTTCATCCATATTTTTACTCAAGTCTTCTTTGGAACATATTTGTATAGGTAATCTACACTTGTGATAATTTCAAAACTATTTCGAAAGTTTTTTAGACACATGCCTGAAACCAAAGGACGAGCTGTATATGATATAATTGAAGCCATGGACCAAGACGTGGCGTCTAGAGTCAGTTATAAAACTTCGAACCTATTCTCAATCTTGTTTGTTTCAGACTGCTACATTTATTGAAGAAAAAACTCCGCTCATCCGGAAAAGGGTAAGTCTGTCATTTCCGTCTGTTTTTCAAATTACATCATATTTTTTCAGTCCGCAACACTTGCCTTCAAACGAAACAGCATACTCAACACTTCTCGGACACGGGTAAGAATGATAAGAAAAGCACAATGATTGCAAAAAATGCTCGTTTTTTTCCAGGCTCTCAGTTTCGACCACAGGTTAATTCCAAGCAAATTCGAAATTTGCTGATAAATTTAATTTCTTGTTTCATGCACTTTTGTATGTACATATTGCCATAATTTCAATGAAGTATTTTTTAAAGTTGATTTTTGACAAAATGACCAGAGGTTTTTGTTTGGAAAATATGGGATTACTGGAAAAATGGAACCAAATATATAGAGCAAAAACTAATTTCAAAAGTACAATTTTAAAATGACACCAAGGAACTGGTGACCTTCTGATAAAAATTGATAAGAAATATACTATCATCAAATTTCATTTGTTGCAAAGTTTCAGAAAAAAGAAGAAAAAAAAGAAAAATGAAGTTTTCTGTTCCCTCAAATATAATATTTCTCTTGTTTTGTTTTTTACTGCTAGATATTCTTGATGAAATTCTACTAGTCTTATATTCAACAATTGCCGAAGTTGTAAATGACATGAATAATCACACATTGTCAACTCACTATGGGATCACACCGAATGAAGCAAAGTTTGAATTTCTTGAACATATAGTAGGGCAACTTCTGATTTTAGCATGTCTTTTCTAACTTCAATGGTATCTGTTCTAATGACTTTTGGAACAGTACTCTCATTATTTTTTGTTATTCCGTTAGCAGAATCTAAGGGAAGAAAATTTGCAACAGTGCATTGCAGGTGGGGAAGATTATCCCAGTTTTTGTAATAGAATAATTTCAGAATTTTCTTATTAATAATAGCAGCGTTATTTCTGATTTTTTCATCATTTTTCACTTCTTCTGAGTTATTTCTTCTTGCTGAAATATTCATCGGTATAGAGCATCCGTTGAGAACGTATACCACAATTATGTTTGTAACCGAGTGTGCGCCAGACAAAAATCGAGGTTTGTAAAAATATTTTAGATTTTTTCTGAGGATTGAAATTTTAGGATTTGCAAGTACAGCACTGATTTTTGCACAAGTGGTTGGGAGAATGTTATTGTAAGTTTCCCTACTTAATTACATATGTGAGAAAATTCCTTGCTAGGTATTCCTTGGGCTCTCCAGGAATTTTCGGTACAACTGGGTTGTGGTTCATTTTTCCAGTTTTTGTGGCTGTATGGTAAGCTTCTAGAAACAACTTTAAACTTGACATTGAAAAATTCAGCTCAGCTCTAATGCTCATTATCACTTCTAAGTTACCAGACTCCCCTAAATGGTTGGTTTGCCAGAATAGAGTTGAAGAAGCTAAAAGAGCGATAAATTATTATCATGGTCCGGAAACTGATACTGGTACAGATAAATCCTCGAATCTTTTTTATTTTGTATTTAAGTTTTCAGACCAAGCTTTAAGTTCTTTAATCAAAGAAAAAAACCTGACCACCGAAACCAAGTTGTCTTTCAAACAAGTAATAGGAGATGAAACTATGAGAGAAGCACTTAATGTTATCTTTGCGATTACATTCTTCTTCCTGCTCGACGGAACAAGTAGTCAATCAGTTTATACAGTCGTCTTACATAAAAATGCGGGTTTCTCAGTTCAGGAGGTAATAGGAACTGTATCCTTGTAGATTTCGACTGAATTTTTTTCAGACAATGAACATTAGCCTGATTTTGGTTATTGTGTTTTTCCCTACTAAGTTTATTGGAACATACATAATTGATGCACTGGGAAGGAGACCAGTTATGCTACTAGGTGGAATAATTTGGTAAGATTCACCTATTCAGATTTATTAATCTGTTCGGTTCAGTTTCTCTAAATCAGTTCTGATGATTGCGACCCAACTTGTGATTCACTTTGCTGGAGAGAGTTTGCTGACAAAAATGATGTGTAAGCATTTGGATACACTGATACTTCAAATCAATAAGGTTCAGACGTTGCCGTCGAGAGTTTGACTGCAGCAATACCTGCGACTGGAGTCAATACTCTACATGTACTATTTATATCTGAATTGTTTCCCCCATCTGCACGAACATCCGTAGCACAGGTGGGTGGAAACTAACATAATTGTCTGAAAAAAGCTCGGCCCGCTGCAAGTATGCTCAATATTGACAAATGTTTCAGGTTTTGCTAATAACTGCAATTGTCATTGATTCTCCACTACTCTCACTATTCCCATTTGTGTATTCTATTTTCCCACCGGGATTTTTTGCGCCATTTGCAATATCTCAATTTTTCTTCGGAATTTATCTGTACAGGTAGATTAATGTGTGTTTCAAAACTTACAAAAGCCTATTCTAGACATATGCCAGAAACAAGTGGACGAGCTGTGTATGACATTATTGATTCAATGGAGCAAGTTGTTTTCTCATGGGTGAATCGAAATTCAGAAATTATTGTTAACTCAGTTTTCCAGAGTCAAACATTGGCTGACGAGAAAGTTCCGTTACTCAGAGATCGGGTAAAATGTTTTTCTCCATAATTATCTATCATGAACTTACAGGCAAGTACACTACTGGCGACCAAAAGGAATAGCATACTCAACACTTCTCGAGCACGGGTACAAGCAAATTCTGATAATTCAAAGTTCATATCGGTTTTCAGTCTTCTACGTACGATCAAGAATTAATTCCACGGAACATTGAAATATTTTGAGAATAATTGTTCGATATGACCCCTACAAGATTATCTCATGAAGACCAAGTTTTTTAGCATCAGTTGTGGCAGATGCTATAAAAAGTAATTCAATTATACGGGGATATGAAACTGTGGTGTAATAAACGTTTGTCTCATGCTTTTTCTTCTGACATATGAAGGTTTGATATATTTATTTACTCCGCACGTACTTTTTTGTATTTTTTGTCTCATTGTCTTTTTTTAGTTTTTCAATTTCTTGGTTTATATCAATTCACCCATTAACATCGTTCTTTGCCACCCTCAAGCTTCTCAAGATTGCCTAGTTCTCCGAGTGTTCGCTTAAATCTCGGTTGTGGATGCAAACACCAGACGGGCCCCTAACATTCAACTTGAAACTTCGAAATACATGTTTTGTAGCATATCAAATTTTTCAGAGACATGAGTGTCAATCGATTACAATCTGCGACATTATCCCACATTTCATTAAAAATGTTTTTAGTAGAGAACTTCGAAAACTTTGGTTTCAGAAAATTTAGTCATGGGTTTGAGGAAAACTGAAGATATAACGACATTTGAACTCAACAATGGTTTTTGTTTGGAGCGATTCGTTTCCGCAACATTTTCTATTTTTTGTCGGGAGTATTGATGATGGCTGTACTAAGAAAAAGTACAACTAGTTAGAAAAAATTGAAAGGGAGTAGAGTGGACAATCAGGTACTAGAGCGAATTTCAAAAACAAAAAAAAACTAGGAACTATTTAAGTAAGCGGGGTTGAAAAGATACGTGTAAATTATCTCTAGTGAGTAACGGATCATATACAAACTATTAAACTTGCAAAAATAAAAACACCAGGGTGTACAAACTGGTATCTGACCCAAAAATATTCTTTGTGGAATCTTACGCATTGTTTTGGTTTTTAAAAATACCTTATTCCAAGTTTTTTTTTGCATTCACTCGATTTAAAAATTGTACCACTGCTTCGTGATAGGAGTCCATATTTCATTAGTTGATTTCAAAATTAATGTGTTTGAGCAAATCTTATTCTCAAATTTTGGTGTTCCTTGAATATAGATATGCACTTTTAATAGTTCTCTATCTCACGTGAGAATTGTAGTTTCCAAGTTTACTGATTAGAATAATTCTTTGTCCTGAGTTTCTCTATCATCTCATATGCACAGCAAGAAAAACTAAGGTTCTTGATAAGAAAGTTAGTTTCAACGAGTGCCAGTTGAACTGCCAGTTCTCACAATGAAATTTTCTGTTCCCAAAAATATTCTTCTCATGATAGCATGTTTCCTACTACTGGACACTCTGAATCAGGTACAAACGTTAATGTTTTCCACACTGGCTGAGGTTATCACTGAAATGAATAACCATACCTTAATGAACCATTTTGGATTAGAACCCACTGAAACCAGGTATCTCGAATTTCATCAAAAAACTAATTTCATCAAGAAACTTAATTCAGACTAGCAATGATGAACTCAATTATGACAACTACCCATGAAATCGGAAATGCTCTATCGATAATATTCCTCTTGCCTGTTGCTGATTACAAAGGAAGAACATTTGCAGCTATTCATCTTCGGTAACAATGTCTTATTTAAATTTTAAAAAAAGAAATTTAGATTCGGTATCACAATTGCTGTTGCAGTATGTCAATTGTTAGCAGCGTGGTTTCAAGCATCTGAAATTTACATTCTCGGACAATTCATTCTGGGATTTACCTTTTGTTTGCGAACATTTGGAACACAAATTTTTATATTAGAATGTGCACCGGACAACTGTAGAGGTAATTTAAAAATGTGTATAATATATACAGCAAATTTCGAATTTCCGGTTTCGCCAGCACTGCACTCATATTTTCTTTCGTTTTTGGAAAACTTATCATGTGAGATTTTATTTCTCCAAAAAAAAACCGTAATCCTGAAATTAATTTAGGTTCTCTACGTCGTCTCCAAGTCTTCTTGGAACTTCCAGTTTATGGTTCATTTTCCCTCTATTCGTCATGATAAGGTAAGATGTCAATCAGAAAGTGATAAACCTCTCGAAAATGTATCAGCTCGGTTGTTGTTTATATCTTGCTCCTTCGGTTTCCGGACTCACCAAAATGGCTTGTCCAACAAAAAAGAGTGGCAGAAGCTATAGATGCAATTCGGTTTTATCATGGGGCCGAGTCTAAAATTTGTAAGGACCTTTATAAATATCAGAGAGATAAAACAAAACGTTTCAGATGAAACTGTCAATAATGTGATCAAAGAGAATAGTCTAACCAAAGAAAACAAGCTATCTTTGAAGCAAGTTTGGGAAAATGACACGTTAAGACAGGTAACATCTTGAAAAAATGTATCAAAAAACTATAAATAAACATTCTAGTCTTGCCTGATAATTCTAGCCAACATGATGTTCATGCAATTTGACACAAGTTATGTTCTATCCATTTACACTATCATGTTCCATAATCAAGCTGGATTCACAACTCAGATGGTGAGCAAAGAAAACCATAACACCTGTAATAGAAGGCTCTTTACGCTGTTAAGACACAATCTCTGAGAAACTCGAAAGCACCATGGCAATAGAAAAAATCAAAATGGTCCTAGGAGCCTGATATTGTATGTGGTTGGTATAGGGGCTAATTTAAGACTTTTGACCATAATACCTATAGGCCACGCCCCCTTCTGGGCGCGACAAAATACCGTAACCCCGAAAAAAATTTTCTTTTTCAAAATAATTATACCACTGGTCCAAAAACCAAACCCTAATAGTTCGATACTGTAAACCTCATTACACATTAATACTATAGTACCATAAAAAATCCGATACCCTTAAAAGGGGTTAAGTCGAAAAAGTGCGAAAACGTCATGTGGGGGAGTACATGGCAACTAAAACTTGTCCAAAATCGACCATCTCCAATTTTTATGAAATTTTTACGAGATGCATTATTTTAATGGGTAGTATTTTGGCAAAATGTCTGACATGAGTTTTTTTTCATCATCTTCGTGCATTTTCAGAAGCTCCAAAAATGCTTCCAAGTCCATTTTCAGTGAAAAACTAATGGGCGCAAAAATGCACGAAAACGATGAGAAAAAACTCAGACATTTCGCCAAAATACTACCCATCAAAAATAATGCATCTCGTAAAAATTTCATAAAAATTGGAGATGGTCGATTTTGGACAAATTTTAGTTGCCATGTACTCCCCCACATGACGTTTTCGCACTTTTTCGACTTAACCCCTTTTAAGGGTATCGGATTTTTTATGGTACTATAGTATTAATGTGTAATGAGGTTTACAGTATCGAACTATTAGGGTTTGGTTTTTAGACCAGTGGTATAATTATTTTGAAAAAAAAATTTTTTTTGGGGTTACGGTATTTTGTCGCGCCCAGAAGGGGGCGTGGCCTATAGGTATTATGGTCAAAAGTCTCAGAGTAGTCCCTATACCCACCACATACAATATCAGACTTCTAGGATCATTTTGATTTTTTCCATTGCCATCGCCTGTTGACTCGATCTCAATTCTCTCAGAGAATGTGTCTTAAGTTTCAGCTTAATTATCTCGGTCTGTGTAATAGATACAAACATTTTGTCAACTGATAAAATGTTTATCATGATATCACCAGTATTTTTTCAACTTACAAACCTTTGATATTTTTCACGTGAACCGAGATAAATTGACCTCCAAGTTAGAAGTGAGCCTTTTTTTGCAGGCTTCACGGTTCATGTAATTGGTTATTCCTTCAGGCAATGAACATCAATCTCATAATCACAATTGTACTGCTTCCAACGAAATTCGTTGGCACCATACTTCTTGATACGCTTGGAAGACGCCCAACATTCTTTATTGCTGGAATTATGCAGTATAAATATGGAAACCAGTTTAAGAATCAAATACAAAATTCCAGATACACAAAATCAATTTTGATCTTTGCAACAAGTATCATCATATTCATTTCTGGCTCTAGTTTGATTACTCAGATCATGTGTGAGCTTTCGGAAAATTCATATTTTACAAAATTCTATTTTTTCTTTTCCAGATCTTGGTGTTGAGTTTCTAGCGGTGCTGGTTCCAGCGACTGGAGTTAACTCTATCTTAGTACTTTTTGTATCAGAACTGTTCCCACCGTCTGCAAGAACGTCTGTCGGCCAGGTAAGCTCTTTACTAAAACGAGAAAATTTTAAAACAGAAAGCATGAGTTCTCTAGGCTATGATGTTTGGTTCGATGCTGATCAACACGCCAATTGTCAGTGTGTTCCCAATAGTAAACTCAATTTTCCCGCCAATTTTCTTCGTACCATTTGTTATCACTCAGGTGATTTTTGGAATCTACTTATACAGGTAAGCTACAGTATTCCTAACTTTAACTTGTTCGAAATGGAAATTCCGTTCAGAAACATGCCTGAAACTCGTGGACGCGCAGTTTATGATATTATCGAATCCATGGACAATGAAGTTGGATCAAGGGTAATTTTCTTTATTTTTTCTGACTTATTGTGAGTTTCCAGGCTGCATCCATACTCGACGAGAAACTACCTCTTATCAGAAACCGGGTTTGTCACTTTGTACCTTTTGTGTCAATCAAACTTGAACTTTACAGGCCAGAACTCTAGCATCAAAACGGAATAGCATACTAAACATAGAGCGCTCACGGGTAACCATTAAAAGATAACAGATTCTGCAAATTTGTTGAACTTTCAGGCAGTGACTTTTGACCACAAGTTCACTCCAGAGAACTGATATTCTGATAAGCGTGATGTTTGCTTCAATGCACTTTGTGTTATTTTCTGTACAATTTGTCGAATGAATCTTTGTTCCATTGAAACACTGTAGAATGTTTGAAATGATGAAGAGTCAATCAAAAAGGAGGTCGACGATGATGGGTATTCTCAGAACAAATATTTATTTGCACACGTCCCAAATATTATATTCAAATGCGGCGAACCATGTCCAGATTAAGGAGAAAAGACCGACAACGACGACGGATTAACAGAAAAAGTATGCAGAAGAATAGTGGAGGAATTGTGCTACTGTCAGAAAAGAAAGACACGCGCCATTTATTTTATATAAGAAAATGTTTTTATAGGATTTCATATAGATACCGTTTGATGGAGAGACTATGTTGTGGGGAAAAACAACTTTTACAATTTTCAGCGGGGGCATTGTCTTGAGAATTTTGGTTTTTCATTTGGATTTGGATGCTCGGAAAAATGCTGAATCCATTTTGCCTTCTATTTGTTTGACTAGTGAACACTTTACAAATGTCGGTTCCATTTTTAAGAAATTTTTTCTCCGTTTTAAAACCAAAAAAATTCCATTTGCCTCACACAAAATCTATATATTCTTTTTTTGCTCGGGGGTGGCTTAAATAATAGTTGCAATGATGGTGGCATTCAAATGTGTATGAAATCCAATACGCATTTTTGCATGACCCATCCATTATGTTTCATTTCGGCTGCCCTCCCATCTCCTCTCCCGACACATCCACCAAAACTATGTCCACCAATTTCCCGGGGAAAAAAGAGCAACAAGGGGGCCCTTCCATCACTTTTATATCCAACGTCTCACACTTGTTCCTCCATTGCCGTATGTTTATCAAAAAAAAAAGTGGCGTCGCCCGAGGGCTATCAATCTCAATTCATCTCTTTCGTCACTACACATCCATTATTCTTCCACATTTTTTTGTCCAATTTCTACTAGATATTGTGTTTGTGTGTGTGGAGAGTAAAAAAGGTGGACGTTGCATGAGTTGCTCAGAAGAGCACTTTTGTGTTTTTTCTAACTTTTTTTAGAACGGTTTGAAAGCAGCACAACTCTCAATTCAGCTTCACTTTTCTTTTTTTCTGCTTTTTGTTACAGGTTCTCATCAGAATGAAAATTACCTATTCAATGAGCTCTATTTTTGGTCGGTAAAATTTCAAATTCCTAGAGCAATAGGAACACTTTTAGATATTTTTTTCGGACTCCAAAGTTCGCTTTTCATTTTAACTGGAAAAAGCAGAACAAGATATATTTTTGCAATACTATAAATTAATATTTTTCAAAATTCAAACTTGATCCCATGTAGGCTGGCCCTGAAAATGTCGAATTTCGATGGTTTTTTCCACTACTGTAACTTTATTTCAAATTGCTTCTTGTTTTTTACAAACGAAATTCCTTTTTTCTTCCCATTTGCAGTTCTACCGTATTCTCCAAAAATATAATTTTTCTCCAGTTTTCCATCTGTTTTTTCTATTGTTTCGTGCATTGCCCCCACGTATGCCTTTTCACATCCTCAAAAATTATGCGAATGTGATCATAAAATCACCCCAAGACGACCATATATTCAAAAGAACGCGGCTCGTTCTGAAAGTAGGAAGCGACAAAAGCGGGCTCCCACGATCAAGAATGCACCTCTCTCCCTCCCGGCACTTTTGCTCTTTCACTGCCTAATTCATCCTCCCCTATTTTTAATGTATTCGTATTTTTGGACAACTTTACCCTAGTGGCTTGTTTTTCCGCTTGTCTCCCTTCAATTGTACGACTTCCTCTCATCAGGTGAAAAGGTAGCAATGGCCAGTTTCCCAGCCAATAAACTTGGCACCTTCACGCCGCTTCATTTAGTGACTGATAAGACTTTCTTACCGTACCTATTCCCATTCTCAGGCATTTCAAACAGAAACATTTTCAAAAAAGAAGAAAAGAGAGAACTGTTTGATTATTCTGTAAGTGACTTTTGTCTCCGCAACATTGTTCGAATCTCATATCCTATTCAATGTGATGTTCTTTATCTGGCAGCCCGTTTGCCTTCCTGAATAATTTACAAACGCTATTTCAATATCTATGACGTTTTTCCTTCCTCCTCAGAAAGATTTGAATTCTCTCCCTCTCTTCCTATTGTTGAACACATACTTCTCTTACCCAGATCAGATTGTAATCTGTCAGTCAATTTTTGTAACAAGTTCCTAACCGAGTAATCTGACACCACTACACCACCCATGCCACCGAAATGTGCTAATCCCCACCGGAACGAGGTCAATCATTTGGTGTAGTGGGTCAATCATATCACATTTCTCGAGTTCTCGCACTTTTCTGTTAATTAGTAACATAACTAGATGTCGGAGTCTTAAGAAAAGGTCGGAGGAAAAAAGCAAACAAGTTTTGGTAAGCGGGAAAAGAAAGTAGCAAACAGTTTACCACATTTTAGTCGTTGTCGCTTATTGTCGCTTATTGTGAGGTTGTATTACTGTATAAACATGGGGAAGAGGTTGAGGATAGTGTAAAATTTCGCTTTTATATTACAAGTAATATTGACTTGGATTTAATTGTACTGAAACTTGATTCATTCAAAACTTTCTTCGGAGATGATAAATTCAGGTATTCACATTCCAAAAATTGTTTGAGCCGTTTTTTAAGATTTTTGATTGAAATTGCAATATACAACCAAATTTTGATGTTTCTGAATAATGCAATTTTATTGCCAAACCTGTGATGGAATGTTCCACTAACTGCCATTATTGAGCCAATTTTTCGCGATTCATTTTCGAAATATTGCAAAGCGGCCATCTAATAAATTGTTTATAATAACATCAAAAATACTTTTTTGAAAATGTTTTGATATTTTTCATAGTAAGTGAGATAATTGAGCTTAAAAATGATAACAATGGAAGTTTTCCGTGGAACTGTGATTGTAGAAGAACCCATTTACTGCAAGCTTTGGGCCAATTTATCTCGTTTCATGTAAAAGATACGGAAAAGTAGTCAACTAAAAAATTGTTGATATTAAAATGATAAATGTTTTGTCAGTGAACAATGTTTTGCTATTTTCAGCAAACGAGATAAATAAGGTCTAAGTGCACAGTGTCGAGGTCCTTCTATTACAGTTTGTGTGATACATAAAGTTTGTAATTCTTTTAATTGAGTAATTATTAAGGGTCTATACTAACTTTCAAAACTTTTTCAAAGTTTTGAATGTCTTGGTATTTTGACTCCATTAACTTTTGAGCTCTCGAAATGTTGTATAGAAAACACATCTATACAATTTCATTATTCAATTTAATGTATAATTTTGAATATAATTTTGCTGATACAGCGATTTTTCAGTAGTTTTTTTTTCCAATCACACTCAAGTCAATACAGTAAACCACCTGACCACCAACACTAACTTTTTTTTCTAATTTTGTTCACAAGTTACGGATATTCATTGAAGGTCATCCCAGACATCCACACTTATCTCGAAAACATAACCAGGCCAAACTTGCCAAAACACCATGCGTCCTGACTTCCTTCGAACGCAAGAAATCGGTGGACCGAATCTATCGGCGTTCACGGTGTGGTGTGACTAATTGATGGTTGGCGTGGTGAAGAGGAAAGGTGGTAGTCGTTGTAGTTAGTACATGAGATGTTGTCGGTGGATAACGAGGAGTCCCTCTCCTACTCGAGGTCGTGTCCGGAGACAGTCTTTCTTTATTCTACTCCTTTTTCATTTTTCGTTTCTAAATGAACCTCCTAATTATATGAAAGAGGTCCTCCTCATGGCACATAATTACAAGGTTCATTTCTTGAAGATTCCGACAAAGAAAAGCTTTCATTTGCGGCCCATCAGAGACTTGAGGTGTGGAAATCAATTAATTTTTTTTTTCATTTTCGTTTTCAATTTATGAAGAGCAACAATGATTTGTCTTTTGGTCCCTTTTTACCAAGCAATAAAACCCTTGTCATTTAACAATTATTCTTTTCTTTGAGCCAAAAACTAATCAACCGCTCAGGTATATGCCACCGAAACATGTAACATTGTCGGTATCTCTTTTGCGGTAAACGTGAGTTACATGCGTTTTGGCAAATATTAGTTTACCGCTACGCGGGAGCCCTAATTCGTACTGACAGGGTCCCCCACCACCACTCTTGATTTATTGCCTTGCTTCTCTCGCCAAAACTTTTATGACTTCCCCCAAAAACCCACACCAAAATCCACTTCCATCGGAATGAAATGAACCTGGTTGAGGACCCTGTGAGTCAAGCAAGAAGCAGCCGCTCAAGAAACAGCACTCGCGAGAGATAGACACAGCTTTTTTCTTTCCAAGTTCCGTCGTTTAAATTAATGATTTTATCGGTTGGGGTGTTAAAGAAGAGCCCGAACGGCTGATCGATTGCTTCCCTACTACTCGTGTGGAGTTGTTCTTTTTTTTCCTCTTGTTCCATGCTCTGGAAGTGGAGGAAGATTGATGAGTCAAATAAACAAAAAGCGGCGTAGTGTTTTTTTTCTTGCTGTTTCTGTTTCTTGGGAGATGTATCTGTTTGTGCTGCAACTACTATAATAATTGCATTTCTATTTGAAAGCGCTATCAAAACTTTCCCAAAGGTTACAATGTTTACAAAACACGCAACAATGAATGTTCCATTAGTTTGACCTCCTGAATTGCATAACACTTTTATTCCCCGCTTATTTTCGGCATATTTTCCTTTCCATCCCGACAAAAGCTGAAGGTTATGCAAAATTCCTCCTGGAAGTTGTCCTAAAAACTACCTGCCCTCTCGCGGCGTTCTTTTTGTTCCGGTAACCCCCTCATTCCGTTTTTCACATTACCCCCACCACCAAATCCCATTCTCGCCTTTTTACCTCCACATTTTCACCTTCTCACCTAGATATTTTCTATGGTCTTTTTCAAATTGTCTCATCTATCTCCCTCCATAAATCTGCGAAATCATTACCTGGTCATGCTCATTGCGTTCGGGAGGGGAAATGGTCTTTGTTTCTAATTACACTTCCTGAAGGACGGATTTTTGAATGGAACGTACTTCTAGCGTGATATTTTTCGTATGTACACCCCATCCGATTTTCAATGGTCTTTAACGGTCGATTTGTCAGAATTTCCGTCTTTTCGGTTGTGTTGAGTGTGGGGATTGAAGAAAAAAAAAGTTGAATGAACCCTCTTCTTCTCTCCTGTTGAATCAGAAAATCATCAAACTCCATGGTGAGTCAGGAACTCTACGATATTGTACAATGATTTGATTTCTGATAAGATTTCACAACCAGCAAAGTTTTTTTTTCACGTTTTCCTGAGAATGTAGAGTTTTTAAAACGGAGATTTTGAAAAAAAGAGCAGGAAATCAGTCGGAAACTGTTATTGCCTCTTTAACCGGATAAAAAGTACAACTATAGGTTATGGAGCTTTTTTAGTACCACAATGATTGCTTTTTATTTCTAAAAAATTTTTTTCCATTCTTGGAGCTATAGTTGTACGAAATTCCGATTTTCAGCCCAGAACGACAGATAATGTTTCTGACTTTGAGAAAAATTTGAACGACATTTACTGTGGACACTCCTATAGAAGACAATCACTACTCGCACTTTGAGCTCAATTAACTCAATTTCTGTAAGAGATATCAAAAATTTGTGAACTGATAAAAAGTTTGTAATATTATCACCAATATTTTATCAGGCGATAGGTTTTTGATATTTTTCATAGGAACCGAGATAATTTAACCCAAAGTGCACGTATAGAGTAGCTTCTGTAAGTTTCACGGTAAGTTGAACTCCAAAATTTCAAGTTTTCGGAATATTCTTTGTTCAGACCCTCTTAAAACCACCAAATAATTGTTTTTGTTTTGTCCCTGATTTCTGCTTTTTTACTGCTTTACCTCTTCCATCCATCGTCACCATTTTTTATCTTCTCATCGGTACTAATTCCCACTGAACCTGCAGTTAATTTTTTTGCTGCTTTTTTCCTTCCCTTCCGCTTTTTAATACCACTCATTTTCCGAACATCTGTCGTCCATAGCATCCCTAGGATCCTTCTGACTAGGGCCTCTTCACTCCAAAAAACCATAAAACTTCCCCCTCTTCAACATCCAATATTTTTCCAGAAGTACTGTCACATTTTCAACACCTGTTGTTCCTTTTTTGTAATGAAGCGCCCGTCATTCATCGCCTCTCTTTTTCTTCTTCTACTTTCCTTCGCTACGAAGCACCGCCCCTTTTCTATGCTTTGCGGGCCTGTCTCCTCCCCCCAAGACCCCACTCAAACACCATGTGGCCCCCCCCCCCACCCACTTCTGGTGCAAAACCACTCCATACAATTCCTTTACAGTGTTTTTTGCCGTTCTTTCTTGATTTTTCTTCCCATTCGTCTTTTTCATTTCTCTCGGGGGATTCTTGATGGGTTAATGTGCACAATGAAAATGAATCAGCACATGTACATAGTATTCTTTTACATATGGTTCACGTTGCGTGTCTTCCGAACCAATCGCTTAGCCGTCTTACATGATTTTTAATATGTTTATACACATATATCTTTTACAAAACTTTCTTTTTTGTTGTCCCTCCTTTTTTCTCTGAGTACTACTACGTGAGTCACAGATAGAAGTCATCTGCCAAAAAACTCATATATTGTGGTTGGCCCCTCTTCTACCTATTCATCGTAGAAGCCCAATTGGTTTTCTCATTACTTCACACACTCACTCTCTCTTTTCACTCACATCAGATGTATCAAAAATTGTGTTCTAATGATATTCCACTTTTTCTAATGCCTCGTACCTCCCACCGAGCGCCTCCAAAACAGTACTATAGCAATTCATTACATTTGCATATCTTCCACCCCTATTTTCAAATTGAAATTGAGTGTGTGGTAGTAGTAGTAATTGATGAGCATTGGTGGCGGAAGTGCAAATTGAAAATCGACGAGGCGCGCAATATAGACGCCAGAAAAATGGGGAAAAATAGCATCACACCAACTAGACCACCAACTACATTTTTCGCCTTTTTTGCTTTTTTTTTTCTTCTCGCCACTTCTCGCGGCGCATCTTGACAAGCTTATCTGTTCTTGGAGTCTTTTTTTTGCAACTATTGACCCCCAAGTCCTATCCATGTTTCCTTCATTTCTTTTTTTGCTCTTTTCTTGTTAGCACCACCAACTTTTCACACCCCTCTCCCAAGATGCTTCTCATTTCTTTCTTATTTCCTGCTGCCCTTACTCCATATTTTCTTCGTCTAATATAGATATGAGAAAGATGCCGAGGATGAGTATAATGACGGGAGCTTTTTCTGAATAGCTTTTCTCTTTTCCCGCAAAAGCGGATATTTGAGCATCTGCCCCCAGGCCTCTTCACACTTCTCTATTTCATTTTGGGAGCTGTTGTCAAATTGAATTTTCGTAGTCTTCAGTGTTGTTCCTTATTTTCTTCATTTTCCAGACTTTGACCCGTCTTTTTTTCAATTTCCTCTTTACTTTTTTTCAGAGCGACAACATCACACACTATCTACAAATCTATGTCACGATGAAACTACTACTGTATCTTCTACTCCTCCATATCAACACCGTAGTCACTTTGGAATTGAGTAAGTTGGAATACGGTCCATTAAATTTTGAAAAAAACATGTGTCCGCTTTTGACCAAATCGAGAAGTCGTGTTTGAAGGGGTTGAAAACGAAAGTGTTAGAAATGCATCATATTTTGTTCTGGTGTCACCACGCACTCCTCAGAAACTAGTACATTTTTCCTTCGGGACCCCATTAGGCTCTCATCACGTTTTTGGCATGTACCGGAAAAGGAAACAAGTTGATGAGATGAAGAAGGGGTTGAAGGTAAACGACCAACCCAAAAAATTTAGTTTGGGACTTTTTAAAAGATACCATCTTTGCGCGAAATTTCCAGTCAGTCGGCGAAGATGATATCAAAAGGCCTCTAAAGGAGTGGTTTCAAAAGATATTGAAACAGGCGTAGAAAGGAGAGGGATGGTCACAAGTGGAGATGAATTATAGGCCCGGTCCTTGAGACATAGGGGTGCTTGATCAAAATCTCGAGGATTAAAAATTTATGATTCCAGCATTATGCAACATTATCTTCTTCTTCTCCTCACAACATCAAGTAGGGGCCACAAGTCAAGATGTCGAGGACCGATTAGGGGGCCGTCGGGCAGGTGTCGATCCATTTAGACGCAATCCATCCGACCCGTATTCTTGAGCATTGAGCGTAAAATCTGAATAGCTTTGCAATTGCGCAACAGGGACAAAGAGGTGTGTGGGTGGTGGTGACATTCGGAGGTTAGGGAAAATATAGTACACGCCGATTTATTGCCTGTTTGTCCCAGCCATTGGCAACCAAAATATAAATCACACGCTTTTGTTGCTGTTGAAGGAAGTTAAAAGATTTTTGATATTTTCAAAATTTCTGACTCGATTTGTCATGTTAGCTCGTCAAAAAAGCATCATAGAAAAGCATCATAGAGAAGAAAACCAATTTCTTGTGCTCCCGAAAAACCTCATCATTTGGGTCTCCTCTAGTACTGACAGCTGCTTGTCGTTCAATTGCTAAATAACACATCATAACATTGTTCTTCTTATCATTTCTCTTGGTTTTTCGAAAATCCTGAAGCGAAAGTCTTTGTCTTAGAAGATCTGAGGGAGGAAGTAATATATAATCGAAAGCGGAAGGTGACAGTTACCGGACACAACTGTTGCAAAATGCACAAAGGAGCCGCGCGCATCCGAGAAGTGCCACAATGATCGATTGCTTACAGTTTATATCCACAACAGCACAATTATTACACTGACCCAATTCACCTGAGCATCTCGCTAGGTAAAAAGGGCTCCGAAAAGGTCGAGTCTATAGCGTAAAAAAAACTTAATTGCGTCTCCAACTTGATTGAGGGGGGGGGGGGGGCTGACATTTTCATTTCTCCTTTCTCTTCTTAGCTGAGTCATTCACCTAAAAGCTTTTTTGCTTTTTTTTCTTTTTCATACCTATCCTTTTTCCAAGTCTATCATTCTTCTTCTCTCAAGATCAACAAAAGAAGGTAGTCGTCGGAGAAAAGAATAACGGGGCCTGCCGCTGCCATTATCGCCATCCGTTTTGTTATCGTTTGCATGATTAACGAGATTGCGCAACTTGACAACGGGTCGGCGAACATCTTAAGGGATTAGTAGCCATGCGCAATTCCAGGAGAGATAATTCTGTGAAAGTTTGGACACGAGGAGAAAGGTGCGAAAGGTCAGGACCATTGTGAAGTCAACAGAGAAACTAAAACAAATCACATGTCACTCAAGATATCACCTTTTCCGCATTCAAGAAAACACCAATTGTTTATTTTACACTATCACACTATCACAAAACGTAAGAGGGACCATCAAGTTGTAAATCACTAGTCTGTGGTACAACATATACACCTGGTGTGATATATGCGCGAGAAGATGTCCACGTTTCCAATTTTATTGGTTATTTATGCTCCGGAGAATTGATGAGTGGAGTACTCTCGCGCACCAGGTTGTCGATGATCGCAAACCCATAATGTGAGGCCATAAAAAATGTGCTGCTGCATCTGTATGGGGTTGTAAAAGACAGGTATAATTATCCTCCTGGCAACAATAGAGATTATGAGAGGGATCGTAAAATATGGTTTCGTTTGCCTTCTTTTTCCTGTTTTCTGCCTTCATCTCCTTTTCATGGTTTCTAGTGTTTTTGTTGGATTTTAGTACAAATTTGCGTAGCAAAAAGAAAAATCCAGGCTCATTTAATTAAAAAACGCATTGGTTTGATTTGACTGAAAAAATTGAATTGAGTCAAAGCACGGCGGGAGTCAAAGGGGGTCACAAAAAGAGCGGGCCCTATTTGCTCTTTTTATCCAAATTGCTCGTGGTAGCTTGTTGACCGCAGATCAGATTAGTCTTGGCAAAGCATACAGGGGTACATGACAAAACAAGCAAAACACAGGGAAGAGTAAACTGTAGATCAAAAAATATTCCGCTTTGTAACATGATCTCTTGAGACCCTTTACCTATCAAGGACCATAATTTTGCAGAAGAATGTAGCCACCAATTGGGAATGTCAAACCGCAAGATTCGGGATGAGCAGATTTCGGCGTCTTCGAGTTTCGACTTGCAAAGTACTGGACCACAGCATGCTCGGTAAGTGAAGGGAGAACGAATTTAGAATTCGTAAAACGTTTGAAACATTAATGCAATTTTGATGCATTATGCTCCATTAAGTTGCACATAAATATTCCTTATTGGGAGCTTCCATAGCTACCCGTTCAAATTAGAACCTTCGAAAAAAAGAACTATTTGTCGGCACCTCCTTGTCCTAATTATAGTAAGCCATAGCGTCAACAGGAAAGAGTCCCTATTGTATAAGCTCACTAATTACCACCGACCATAATTACAGTATCCGCTTTCACGTCTGTTCCAAAATAGTCTCTGCAAACTGAGACCGCGCTCTCTCCAGAGAATTCAAAAAGAAAACGAAATTTCCCAAGAATGGCTTAGAAGCCCAGGGATTAGCACTCATTTTCACAAGTTTCCCGACGACGTTCATTTGCAAATTTGAAACTCCTCATTGAAATTGAGAAAGGGAACGAACATCTAATTTAGAGACCAAGGGAACGTCTTTGACGTGAGAAGGGTGCTTCATCAGGCGTCGTCGTCACTCACGTTAACGCCTCAACAAGCGATTTATCTAGTTTGATTGTTTTGACAGACCGCAGAGACGAAAGCGGCGGACGTCTTCCATAGCTTCACTTCCTAATTGCAATGTGTTGCATTGCGCGCGATAAAAATCTTGATTAGAGGAGCTCATCTGGAGAGGGAGCACGAAACTTGGAATTGAGAGCAATCCTATATTTTCCATTGCAGGGCTCATCAAGAATCTGGAAGTGGCGCCTGGTGTCCAAAGAATCAAATCAACTCCCTTAGTAAGGAATGGCTTCAAATCTCCTTCTCCGTTGATACCGGTACCTTCAAAAAATCGTAAAGAACTATTAAATGTTGAAATTTTTGCAGTCATTACTTCTGTGGAGACTCAGGGACGTTATGACGACGGTCGAGGACAGGAGTACGCTACCGCATTCAAAATTCAGTATTGGCGACCTTCATTAAATGCCTGGGCATCCTATAAAGACGATTTCGAGCTAGAGGTTCGTCCTTTTCATTCAAAATGTCCGCTAATTATCGTATCGGCACCCTTTCGGTCAGCTCGTTTAGATTTATGCGGATTGCACCCATTTCTTAGAATTGTGAATCACAAAAGACTTTTCGCCTTTTTGTCGAACAATAGGGGAATATGACTTTTCTGGTCGTAATACTGTCGCTATACGAGCAACCGTGTTTGGGTGTGAATCAGCAAGGAACACATTTGAATACAGAGAAACCCGTTATCCGAGATTTATTACAAGGTCTTTTCTCAATCCGATTAGATATCAAGCCATTGAAATTCAAATTTCCGCTATATACAAATGCCATCATCATATTCACATTTCCCTTTAGTTTTTTGTTGTGTTTGATGGGAAAAGTGTATGGGACATCAATTTTTTGTTGTGTTTAGTGGATATCAAGAACAGAGGGGTCACGATAGACACGCTATACATTTTTAATGCCCTTTTCTTTCTGCAAAAGTAGCTCTCCTTGTACACCAGTACCACCACTCAGGGGTTCGAAATTGGTAGTTGGGGTAAATTAGTTGAAATTTGGACTGACAACAACAGGCAGCAGGCACACACTTGACACTTGTTTCTTGGCATTGTACTTGTAAGACGGATTGTCGTAAATGCGGTACCGATGGGGGTGGAAAACAAGGGTGGAAAGGTTCTTAGAGAGTAAGTCTGAGTGACAATACATCTGCCAGCCACTTGTCGAGAGACGGATCGGCTCAAGATCGTATCGACACATATGTCGCCAGCTATCTCGTCTTGCATAACTGGAATTTGAACATAGAGAGAAGGACTGTAGGACATAAAAAACGGATTGGTAGCTAACCGGTTAATGGAATGGCATCAAGAAGCGCGGCGAGGAGGGGTCAATCCGTAAATGGCCGGCCGGTGTGTCTTTCAAGTAACTGTTTGCCGCGGTTAATCCTCTTCTTCTGCTCTAGTGACTTCCGTAATCCTAAATGAAGGGAAAGTCAAATGCAGATTGTAATAGTAATGTAACAAAAAACTGGATGAACAGCGAAATTTTAATTAGGGCGTACAGATGTGAAATATATGCAAACCTGCTAAAACGTGAAGTTGTACAGTACTGAACTAATTTATATTATGTTTTAAATTTTTCAGAGAGGCAAACAACTTTAGTTAGGCTTTCTGAAATAGCAGTACAGAATGTTTCATATAATCTGAAAAATGCAGAGACTAAACAAAATAGAGCTTCAGTTCTGTAATGACATTTTTTTGTAACAACTCCAGCCAAGGCGGTTATAAAATAGCACAATTATCAGCTCAATTCTATTTTTGCCATTTTAGGCACTTTTTTTGGTGACAAAGGTTTATCTTAAAGAAATCGAGCTGGTATCATCTGAAAAAAAGCTTATCCCATAGTATTCTGTAAACCACATAATCAGATGGCAATGTAGTTCTCTATCTCCCACAAAAACAGAGCCAAACATAATTTTTTTTGTGTAATACTGTGAATTCAATTTTTTCGAAATTTGAACTCAATCCCACTTTAGCTGTTCTTCACAAAATGCTTTTTTTCAGACAATCCCTGCAAACAACAACACTGGAAATGCAGTCAGACGAGTTTTGGATAGAGCCATCATTGCCAGACGCATACGAATTGTCCCTATATCCAACTCGACTAGAACTGTCTGCATGCGAGTAGAAGTCTACGGATGCCCATTTGATGGTAAGTTATTCTATCTTTTCATTTCACTCTGAAACATCTCCCATTTACAGATAGTGTGATTTCATACGGCATTGAACAGGGCGACTTGCAGTCGGGCATTTCTTATCACGACTTTTCATACGATGGCAATCTCGCCGACTCGCCACACCTAACCGGCGGAATTGGCAAGTTGTACGATAATGAGGTGGGAGAAAAGGATGTTTTTGTTAACCATCACAAATGGGTTGGATGGAGAAGAAAGCGAAGCGGTAGTGTGAAGATGTCCTTCGAGTTTGGAGAGTTGAGAAACATCTCGGGAGTTTTGATTCATACTGCAAACGAGTTCAAAAAGAGCGCGAAAGCATTTTCTTCGGTCAGCATACTGTTCTCCAATGATGGAAAGAAATACTCGGACAATATCGTACACTTCAATAATCCAGACGACACGGGGTCCGAGGCTCCTCGTTGGATTAGAATTCCAGTTCCCAATCAGATTGCCAAATATGCAAAGTTTCGAATCAATTTCGGAACTGGTTCCGATTGGCTCTTTGTGTCCGAGGTCAATTTTGAATCTAACCACACGAATATTGAGCTCTTCCATGATGACGTGGTGATCCCGGATTCAGTTTCATATTTCTCTGTAACCGAGCACGATGATGGCACTAGTATGCTTGGTAAGAGAATTTTTCGGGGACAAGAATATTCATCATTATTTCTTTTTTCAGCATTCATCATCTTCTTCTTCATGTTCCTCATTGTTGCTGTCATCGTTATCGCAATTCTCTACCGTAAACGCGAGTATCGTGTTAAAGCATCCTCTCCATCTCCAAATGCTAAACGTGAAATTCTTTTGACTATTGACGGAAACACCATTAAGCATCATGTCTCTCCATCAACCTACCAAATGGCTCGCGATAATCTTCAGAATGCGTTGATTGAGAAGATGCCAATGTCGCCGATTATAAGCGATTACGCTGAACCGGACATTAGCATGTAAGTTGTTTATATTCGATGAAAGTGTAAATGGGCATGGGAAATGGGAGGCAAATATTTTGAATTGAATCAACACATATATATGGTAGCATTTTCGCGCACAACAATGAAAAAAGGGCAAATAAATACAACAAATTGTGACATTTCAATTGTATTCTTTCAGTTGCTCCGATGTTACTGCCAACACCCCATTGCTCTATGGTATTGATGGACCATATGACACACAGAAAAGAAGGTGAGAAATGAAATTGGGATCTTGTCTAGAATAGTTTTGATTCCAGCAATCCACTCTCATCTATTGTTAAATATTCGGACTATGGAGAGGTCTATTGCACAACGCTTCCGGAAATCGCTAGAGACAAGTTGGTCTATGTGAGCCGAATCGGAGAGGGAGAGTTTGGCGAAGTAGATTTATGTCAGTTGGAGAACCGACGAGTCGCTGTGAAACGACTTCATGGAATAAGCCAAGCCGACGAGTTCTCGTTCCATAGGGAGATCCGAGTTCTTGGTATGAATTATTATAGGGTGTTGCTGAACTAAAATACCCAATTTTTTTAGGTAGCTTGAAACATCCAAATGTGGTTGAAGTTGTTGGAGTTTGCACCATCCAAAAACCCATTCTGTGTATCATGGAGTACATGGAGAACGGGGATCTTAAATCACATATCCTCAAAAATCCAACTATAAGCACATCCCACTGCATCTCCATCTGCACCCAACTTGCCGCTGGGTTGGCCTACTTGGAATCTTGTAATTTTGTTCATAGAGATATCGCAGCAAGAAATTGCTTAGTGGATGGAGAAGGAAATGTGAAGATTGCCGATTTTGGAATGGCTCGCTCCCTTTACTCACAAGAGTATTATAAGGTCGAGGGAAAATTTGTTCTCCCGATCCGATGGATGGCTTGGGAGGCTTTGCTTCTGGTAAGTCAATAGAGAGATTTGCATCACATAGAATGTTCTTTTTTCAGGGTAAGTTCTCAACTGCTAGTGATGTTTGGGCGTTCGGTGTCACTATGTGGGAGATTTTCTCGTTGTGTTCCGAGAAACCGTTCTCTGATATGTCCGATGATGAAGTTGTGGAAAATCTTCAAATCATGAGTTCCACTGGATCATTGAAGGTAACCACAGAATATCCAAGAAAAATTATATAAATGTTTTTTTCAGCAAGTCCTATCTCGGCCCAGAATGTGTCCAGCCAAACTGTACACTGAGCAAATGCTGCCTTGCTGGAACTACGATAGCACACGACGTCCGACATTTGAAAATGTGCATCTCCATCTTCAATCTCTGGTCCACACTTCTCCACACATTCATTTTTAGATTTTTCTAACGATGTCCAATACTTGGAACGAACTTCTCTATCTTAACTATCTTTGAAACTTTAAAACCCTTTCCTTACATTCTGGTGATCTATTTTAACTTGAGAATACACACATCTCAGGATTTCCTTTTACGGTTGAACACTTTTTCCCCTCCCCAAGCTTTCCTGTTATATATTTTCCCAATTCGATTATTTCTCTATTTGAGAATTGCCACGTCGGTCACATATCGGTGTGTAATCGAGAATTATCACATTTTGTACATTCTGTCGCTTTTTGTTTTTCCTTTGGTTCGATGTTGGGTAGTCATTAATAAATGATTTACTGAGATAATTTTTTTCAATGAAAGCCGGTGACAAAAAAATATCAAAAATAGTTTAATAAAAAATATCATTTTTAATTAGTCTTGAACAACAGTTTTTCAATAATCTCCTTTTTCAAATCGTCGGTTCTTCCATTGATCACCCATTTGTAGAATGGACCAAAGTCAGCTTCGATTTTGGATTTCATCTGAAGCAAAACCCTTATAATTGTTTTTTTTAATTCGGTCCACCTCGTCACTCAAATTATTCCAATCTATCGCTTCTGGTTTTGCAGATTTCCTCTCGCGAATTGGTTGAATTATTGGAAGAGCTGAAGAAACATCCGAAACATTTTTATAGAAATTTACTATGAAATATGCAATAGAAGAGCTTTCAAATTATCAAGTCATAGCTTATTTATCTCGGTTCTTATGCAAGATTCCAGAAATGTGTCAAACGACCAAAAACTTATGATTTTATGATAAAAAATCATCAGTGAACAGATATCTCACATGAGCCCAATATGACTGGAAGTAGAAAATTGAGGGCCCTTCTAATACAGACTGTAGGGTATTTTGAAGCTATAAACCTATTTTCACTGACATTGTCTCTTGGCTTTGGCGGATGTCGACACGACAGGTTGAGGTGGTGGTGTGGGTGTGCTTGACTGAAGAATAACAATCATCATAATTTTTAATCCTATTCCCTCTCCCTCTCTGTCTGTATATATCCCCAGAAACTTGCCGGCGTTTTCGAAAGCCGCGCTTTGTATTCGTCATAAAGCTGATATTTCCCGTTTTTGAGACTTTTAATCGTTTCGGTGGTGGCCGATGAAGCTCGACGCTCACGATTCTTGTAGTCCATCCAATCTTCGTAGAATTGGTGCGCATTGTTGGTCTGATCATAGTTTTTTGTTCGTATTTCTTGATTTTATTCAATACCCAATATTTAAATTACCAATAAAATAATAGAAGCCAGCCCTAGAAATGCGCTTTTAGCTCAATTAGTTCAGTTTCTGTAAGAGATATCTAATTTTTTGTCAACGAAGTAATTTTTGGTGATAATATGATCAACATTTCATTAGTTGACAGATAATTCATGTACCGCAGAGGAATCTAGATAATTGAACTCAAAATTCTCGTACAGAGTGGATTTCTATCTAAGAATTTAGGGTATCTAACTCACATAACAAAATGAAAACATTCAGTTTATCACTATGATACATTCTACAAAAAATAATTTGAACTGGGTTTAATTGACAGAAGCCCTATATGCTTTAGATGTTATTAGTTTTCTAGCCGAACATGTAACACTAGATGTTCAATAATTATATTTATTGAGATTTTGGAGCTTCTTAATATCATATTAATTTCTTTCCGCCAAAATCTTTAATTTTTTTCACGTTTTCTTAAAACTCACTCTTTGCCTCGGTGCTGCCATGATGAGAAGAATAAAAGTATTATGTCTCTTTTCGATGTTTGAAACCAATTTTTTTCTTTCATTCCGTCCTGACCCCATCCATCCGTCCGTTACCCCTAGCAATCACGCGCACGCCACCATCTCATTCCGTTTCACAAAATTTATTCTTTCCCCCAATATGCCACCCAAACAAGAGGAATGAGCAACATCTTGCTCTGGGAGGAAAAAAGAAAGTTGACGGAAATTGTTTCACTCTGCTTGCAAATGAAAACACACGATAACAAAGTCATTAACAAGCGAAAAAAAAATCAGGAGAATCTTCTGGAAATTTCGGCGTAATACCATTGTCATTGACTGCCAAATTCTATTGTTTTCAAGTCACGGGCAAAATCGCGTCGTCGTTTTCCGGCTAATGTACCCGGGGGGTTGCCTCGAATGTTTGCCGCGCAGCTTGCTCCGCACCGCCACCCATGCACAACCATCTTCGGGATTCATCACACCTCATTTCCTCACACCTGTCGCCGGATCGACGAGACAACCATTTTCGATTGTTCTTTTTTTTCAATTGTCAACCAATAATTCTCATTTTTGCGGTCATTCCCGCAAAAAGTTTTGTCGTATACCACAATTTTTTCAAGTGGCGAATGTTGGCAGTTGAATCTAGTTCTCTTTTTTTCCTATTTTTTTCACATGTCAACCTATTTGACCTTATTCGTTTGACTGTAAAAAATTGCATTTTTTGGGTGTGGAGAGTAGGCAGAAAATGGAAAAACAACAAATAACGTTTACATTTCAAATAAAATGGCTCAATTAAATTTGCATTTTTCTCGAATAGGAATTTGGAATTCGTAGAAATTTTCGGTTAAAAACTGATCAGAGATTTACACTCGAAAAATCAGCAAAATTGAAATCTTATTTTCACAAGTGGGTGTGTTTTCGACAGAGAAGTTCAAAACTCTGAAAAAATCGTAAAGCACATTTTTTGGGCTAACTTTTTTCATCTTTATAATTTCTGAAACAATCGAAAAAAAACAGTAATTCTTTAAACAGAATTTTTTCTATAAATATTGATTTAAAAAACCTGAATAGTGAAACGATTTCCGATACATCGATACAATCTTTAATATTGAAAGTTTTGAAATCCCGGGAACTTTTTTTTCGAAAAGCGATTTTTTTCCAGACTTGAATCATGTTTATTCCGTCTCCAATGTTCAAATAGTTCAAGTGCCTAAACACTTCTCCCAAAAAAAAAGAACTTGGAATTAGAATAGAGTTTGAGGAACGTTTCGGAAACTGTCACAGCAAATAGTAGAAACTGTCTGTTGGAGTCGTCTTCTCACAAATACTTCCAATGCAACTGTCTAATTGCCTAACCATTATCCATCAAAACACAGAATGACTGTATTGCCATTGGAAGGGTAGGGCTAGTTTTCTGATATAGTAAAAATATAGGCTAGATTGGCACTATAGATACCCTCCCGGTCCACTTGTTATGCATCCGATGCCTCTCTCGGAAAGGCAAAAGGAAGAAAAGAGATGAACGTTCGACCTAGATTTAATATGGAAACATTTCATGTATCATTTGCATCTCAATACCAATTTTCACTTGTGTTGCCCTACCTTTCTAGAGTACCGTCGACTTCTATCCGATCTAGTTTTTATGTATAAAACTCTAGTTTCCCGGGAAATTGCAATTGCCCATAATCTATTCATTGTCTTGTTTCATCATAATCATCTAAGACGCCACCCATATCACATTCGATGTACATTAAAAAATGCTTCAAAACTTTCTGCTCAATTTCTTACTCTCTGCATTATATCCTGCTGGAACTCGCTTCCAAAAACCGTGTTCCCGCCCTTGATTTCATCCATCTCTTTTAAAACTAATTTAATTCATGTTAATTTATCTTCTTTCCTGTTCCTAGACGAACATAATTTCTAACTCATTTGTTTAATTTATAACACATTGATTTTATAAGTGACTGATAGTCCTGAATCAAATAAATTATTATTATTATTTCTTTCTTTCTTCTCTCTTTCTATTGATAGCAGTAGACCACCTACCCCACCCACACAAAACGTTCTGTTTTAAATTTGTTCAGAAACGCAAATTTCGTCTTGTATCACTTGATACGACCTTCAAAGGAATTCTTAGGAAGTAGTAGTAGTTGGATTAATAGAGTGGACACGGGAAAGGAAAAGAAAAAACGATTAGGATGAACATACACTTTTTTCTGGCTGGTCATGTACTAATCCGAAGGCACCTTTCTCACTTCTTCCTCTTCTTCTTCTTATTTCCATTCTCGTCGTATATTTGTCAAGCGTTCTGAAGTACAACTACTTGTGGACGCCTCTTCTTAAGCGCAACTCTAAACATTTCGCACTGGTTTTAGTTTTATGGACAAGTGAAGACACCGATAAACCCCCAGGACGTGTTCGGATTTGTTTCCCTCAGACATTTGTTATAGTCGCAGCTGTTGTGTTGTATAACAGCTGCAAAGCCTTTTTCTTAACTTTATTATGTTTGGGTCCGAAATGACCTTCAACACATTTTCATGCACCTGTGGTCCACAAGCAGCTGTTCATTTTATTTTTGAATTGTCTTTTGATGATTTACAGTTTTTTCCCATTCTGATTGTGTATTACATCTAATAACTGATGAAAATCTTAAGCTTTTCAAGTCGTGCTGACTAGAAAATTTGTTTGAAATTTCAAAATATCTTAATTCGTCCTCAAAAATCTATTGGAAATTTTTAAGAAATATAATAAACTTGACATTACGTTTCTAGAGAAAATAATAATTAGTGACGATTGGTTTGTTGTTTGTGAACGTCTGAAAATAGCATATTACGTGCACATCAAAAATCTTCGTCATTTTTTTGATTTCCGGTTTATTTCTCGTGGTTTATATAAGTCGTTTTTTACAAAATTCAGGAACAATATTCAAAAAAAATATTTTAAAAATATTTTATTCTAATTACTGAGTGCCATAAAGTTTTAAAGATTTTTGCGGTTTAGGTTAATGTTTAATTAAATACAGTTTCTCAATTTTTAATTATTCCCTTCAAAAAATTTCGACTTTCACATTTTTTTTTAATTCTACAAAATAGACAAAAATCTTGAACAATTCTTTGAAGTACCATAAAATCGAGGGCTTCAGCCTTCCAATAAAAAGCTCAGTTGTTTGAATTTTCGTGCGTGAAATCAAATATTAATCAACTGCCAAAACGCTTATAATATTATAATGAACAAATTATCAGTTGACAATTTTTAAATATCTTCCACAGGAACTCAGAAAATTTTTCTCAAAGTTTAAATTTTGTGGGCCCCTCTTATACGGTGTTTCCATTGATGGAAATATTATGAATTTGAGAACGCATCTTCATTTTTTTCCTTTCTTCTCTCTTCATATTCCCACTGTTTTGTATAGAAAATCTTTTTTAGTACAAAGAAAACTTCCGTAGTCTTCTTCGAAACACTTATCTTCTTCACAAAAACAACGTCATCTTCTTTTAATAGTTCACTAAACTGACATTCCGTCAAGAATTGAGAAAAAAGTTTTCGGGAAAACCCAGAAAAAAAACGGCGGCAGTTTTGTACTTATTCATTCAGAACGGTTTTTTCCCGAACCTCTTGCATTTTGTTCACATCGTGCACCTTTGTAAAAACAATCACAATGTTCATTTTTGTGGTAAGATGAGCCTTGTGAAGTTGCCCTTTCTTCTGTCAACACCCCCATGTACACAATAACACCACAACGGTTTCCTTGGTAGGTGAGGAGTTCTTCTTCATATTGCTCACCCAAACGTCAGCTCGAATTACTCTCCCAGTAGTGCACAAATGTTCTTCGTCACTTTCGTTTCATTAAAACCATATGGAAATTTTCCCCAAAGGTCATTTGTTGTGTTGTGCCGGGCTCGTAGCGTCGCCAGAAAACCCGCGCAGTTCCACAAGATATATTAGCCTTCATTAACCAACCGGACACACTTACTCACTTCTTTTTATCTTCCTCATCCTCAAAGGTTGTGGTTTTTAGAGAAATGAAGGTTACCTTTGGTGACACACATTCCTCTTGTAGACCCCAACTAGCTTCATTTGCATTTCATTAGAAGTGTTGTTGTTGTGCACACTCATTCCCAAAGATGCAATTCAATATGCACCCTATGCGTTCGGTTTCCCAAGAAAGCTTTCAAATTTCTTTTTCCCACCATACTACTTTTTACATCTTCATCTTCTTCATCTTCTATTCCATCTTCTTCATTTCTTCATCAGCATTCTTCAATCACATCATTAATCCGCAAAAGCGTAATGTACTGTAATGTGTTATGTGTCTAAGGCTTCAGTTTTTTTGTTAGTATGTGTTTGTGTTCTTTTTGGGGTGATGTGTGATTTTCTGGTCCAAGCTGATAAAAAACGCCAAAGAAAGCCTTTTTCGAATCTAAAAC